AGCTGAAAGATATCTGAACAGTCTACTGTTTCTAAGGCCACTCTAGTGTTATGCGAGCATTTCAGGTGTCTCTAAGTGCATTCGACAGCACATGACATTCGCCTCTTAAACAGAAAGATGGTATTCATAACAAGCAGTTTAGAGAGGGAATTTTTTAAAAAATATATTTAAATTGAATTCTTAGCTGTATAAAAGTCATTTTTTGCATTATAATGATAAATAAATTTTCGAAGTTAATGAATGACAATAAGAAGTATGTTAAATGGTCTGTGGTGTTATCAGTTGAAAATAATAACTAATGGAGTGTTACTAACTAAATAACAAATTAATAGAATGTTTCTCGCATGTTTTAGTTATTGATGCAAGATAACTAGATTTTAGAAATTTATGAATGGTATATGATAGGAAATGGGATGTCCTAGTGGCTTATGATGCGTTGGTGTACAAAATGGCAACTTCAAATATTAAATGTATCATAGTATTACCCCATGTTCATAAATATTAAGTATTTTTAAAAGTAATGATAGTGTCATTAATGGTTAAGATGGCAACATCACGCTTTGTGACTAGCGATGAGTGGCAGCTCAAGTGGTGGAAGATTTTAGCGGTGGAAAACAACAAAAATAGGTAACTGACTTTGACCACGCATCCAAATCCATGAAAATAAAGCTAGTGATAAGGATAGTGGTTGGCAGCATTAGAGGGACGAAATTGGTTCTAGCTGTTATCAATATTAGCGAAAGATACGGATGAGAGGTCGTCAGAATATCTAGCGACCATACAACTAATTGGTTTGTGGCCGACCATGATCATTGAGAGAAGCCATGTCCGTGGTGATTGTGCATCGTGATTATATTTAATATCATTTTAAATCGAAAATAATAACGCTGTATGTAATTATAACCCATCTTAAAAAATTAAAGTTTGAAAATATTTCAATCTAAATCTTTATATTCTAATTGATCGAACAATTTCACAAGGCACTGGCTTACCGTTATTAAGCCACGACGCCCAAAGCTCATGAAACTTTGTCACTGTAAGACGAATCCGAGAAGATCAAGATCCTCGTGGTTTCCATGTTATTTGATTAAATAATTTTAATAGGGTATATACACGACCATTTAACGTTATTCTTCATATATTCTTTCTCCGGCAACCCTTATCAAATTCGCAGAATTCACGCGAAACAGACACGGGTTTTGTTTTCCTAGGTGGTAACGCTGTAACAGGAATAGGCTCGTTGGAACGAGATGATTCTACGCACGACGTTTTTCCCCCTGATATGACCACCTTTAACGCAGAAATTTGTCCGAAGGAATGGCGGCCGAGAGGAAGAAGACGAGACCCACGAGGAGTGGTGGGGGGTGGGGGAGGGGGGGATTGTGGCGGGGCAGTGGGAAGTGAGGGACCTTCAAATTTCCGAATCAAACAAAGCTGTGAAGGCACCGCCAACGAAGCCATTGCATCCATGCCCCTCTTCCCAGCTCTTCTAGTTTCCCCGAGTACGTTATATGTTCACGACAGGGGCATCAATCTCCCCCACCCTTTCATCTCCTCTATGTTCTCTTTCCCCTCTCTAGCATCTTCCCTGTTCAACCACACTCTCTTCAACTTCCTCTGTCTCTTCTCTGGGTCTTCAAGCTGCTCACTCGGCATCTGAGGCAGACGCCATGAGGGTCAGTACAGACTCTTCATCATCTTCTCGCTCCCCCCCAACCCGCTCTTTTATTGCCTTCTCTCACAGAAGAAGAATAACTGTTTTGAAAATGGCAGATCTTCAATTGGCTGCATCGGAGGCTATCCACGGATCTGGAGTACTGTCGGGTTCCTCATCAAAAAAAACATGGTTAGTTCATCCATTTACCAATAGCCTGTCTACGATCTACGATAATTGGTACATGCTAGAACAGGCCTACATTGATCCGAAGAAATCAAATCCTCTGACAACATAGATATTAATATGTCGATCAAAAACTTTATCGTGAATGAAAGACGATCGAACATGCAATCGATGCCTCTGTGGGCGAATTTTTCTTCATCTCGATGTGCAGACGTTTTTGTGGAGTGTGTCGCCGGCGAGAAGGCTGGGACTGAGAAGGAGGCACTCCTGTTGGAGCTCGACAAAGTGGCGAGCTTTCAGAACTTCCTCGATGGAATCCTGACCATCGGCACGCTCGGCCATCTGGACGACAAATGCCTCGAGGACTCCATCGATGCCGTCAACCAAAAAGAGCACGAGCAAGAGCAAGAACAAGAACAAGAACAAGAACGAGAGCAAGTGGAGTTGATCGCTTCGTCTGGTCCTCTGAGGCACCCCGTGGCCATTGAATCATTCAAGAAGGAAATCGTCCTGGAGGAGGATTTGAAGGCTATGAAGAGAGGTGATGACGCAGCTGATGAGGAGGACGCCCTCGAGCCCTTGCTGAAGGCGACCAAGTCTGAGAAGAGAGAGAGAGTTACGCTGGCCGACCTGATGGCGTCAGAACGTCACCATGGCGACGAGGGGGATCTTACTGGGCAGGCCACGTCAGTTTATGGGATGACTGCCAGAGGGATCAAAGGAAAGAGAGAGAGTGACAAGGCGGTGGTTGCGGCGACCTCACTATGCTGCGCTAAGCACGGCAAGACCCTCACTAAGAAGCTCCTTCTGCCGAAGAAAGGCGGGAAGGATTCACCCCCTCCGGCCTCCAGGAAGATACACCAAGTGCTCTCTCTCTCTCTCTCTCTCTCTCTCTCTCTCTCTCTCTCTCTCTCTATTTTGTATCGTCTGTTTATTGTGTTGGTTTCTGACGAGAAGCGTCTACTGAACAAGCATCTCTTATCATTTTCTGCTTGCTTGCTGTTCAATCGACGGGCCTCAGATGATAAGGAAGATGCTGAAGAAGAAGATCCACCCGGAGATGGCGAAACCCTGCGGAGGCAGCGAGCCCGCGGCGAGAACTCCGACGAGTCCCTCCCAGTGATCACCAGGTAAGCTTCTAAGACCCTCGCCCTCCTCAAAAAACATAAGCACCCTCGGCCCTTCGCCTTCCCTCGCGTCTACGTCAAGCCCGCTTTAATGCAAGTAGTAGGAAGATCATGCAGGGCCGCTCCCCCACGTGCGAAAAGGCCATGGGAGCCCATGGGTTCTTCCTTTTCCCAGCACAGTGGGACACCCTCTGCAGAAGGGGACGAAGAGCACCCATCTGGGGAGGAGCCTACTCTATCGGCTAACAGCTCTCCATCTTCCTGCAGTCGCCGCACCGCTTCCTAGACGCACACCGGCGATCATCCTCTCGGTGCCTCCGGCGGCGACAGCGGCGCCGCCGTGTCTATCCCCACCAAAGTCGCCGCCCCCGGCTCTGGCAAGAAGGTATCCGGTGGGCTTCGATGTGTGCCATCCATACGTGTGTGTGTGTGTGGTCGTTTTCCGTGGTTTCTCAGGGACCATGATCGCCGGTAGCCGGCCTTCATGGGGTGTCCGAAGTCTGTGTTGTGGTTGTCCGTTTGAAACTTTTCTGTCCTTACAACATTGTGAAGCCATTGTTCTGGGTTGAATCGTGGGTGTTTTGTGGTAATGCATCATCCGCAATCATTTCTTTAGATATCTACGTGAATTTATATTCGTTGGGATCATTAATTTTATGTACTTAAACCCTAATCCTTAAACCCTACCCTCATCAAATGCAAGAGTTAGACTTATAAACATGATTTACATGCAAACCTTGAGAACTCTCTCCTTGACTAATGAACGCCAATTAATTGCAAACTTTGGTGAATTCCCCCCTCTAATGTGATAATTTGATTCATGCACATACTCTAATTTGATGATAACTATCATCTAATTTGATAATAAAGTTAGACATATGTGACCCACTAATACACTATATTTAGGCATATAATAAAATTTATGGCAGGTGGATTTTTTTTTATGTCTAAACATTATGTTATAATTAGTTTGCTCACATTATCTTGCATGAATTAATTTTTAAATGACAAATTATAATGTGGAATGGAAATAATAAATAATGGGGTGACTTGCATGAACAAGACGACATCAAGTCTTTGACCTTGAACATGCTCACGTTCACTTAACCTCCGAGTAATAATGTGAGTTATAGGGCAGCTTGAGGGATCAGAAAGTGGTCCATTCCCTAGTCAACGCCCCCTTAAATCTCATTGTCGTGGTCAATGAAGTTAGTTCGGTCAATTATTTTAAGGCTTAAATCCAAAAGAAAACATGCCAAGGGTGGGGTGGAAAATTCACTCAAACGCCCAGAAATCCTTTAAAAAGGTGTAGTCAGCTCCATGGGACAACATAGTGGACAGCTCATTCAAACCCACGTAGTCACCTCTGAGGGCAAGTCCCGGATATCCGGATAGACTTCTTCCCCTGGCCGAGCCACTAAACTCACTTCCCAGACTTTTTCTGAAGGGGTTGACCCTTCCCCAGCTGTTCTTTGCTGAGTCTGGCCTTTGGCTGGCTTCTTTTATAGGCCCTGGACCAGAAGAGGAGCGCGAGCAATGGGATCCAGAGCCGACCTTTGTAAAGCCCTCTCTATGCACCTATCACAGTAAGAGAGAGAGAGAGAGAGAGAGAGAGAGAGAGAGAGTTGAGTGGGCATGTGAACTATCATGAGATAGATAGTCACATGGCATGAACGAGAAAGATCTACACAGAGAAAGGCCCATGGGCACGACCAAAAGCTCTTCGAGAGAATTTCCTGCAAGCTTGGGGCTCTCTATGCACCTATCACAATAAGAGAGAGGTAGAGAGAGAGAGAGAGATGAGTGGGCATGTGAACCATCATGAGATAGGTAGTCACATGGCATGAGCGAGAAAGATCTACACAGAGAAAAGCCCATGGGCGCGACCAAAAGCTCTTCAAGAGAATTTCCTGCAAGCTTGGGCCTCTTCAGTAAAAAAGACCATACACAAGAGTCACCTCCGCAAAACCAAAAGAAGATAAAGAAGAAGATCAGAGGCTTCTGCCCGGGATTTTCTCGCCCCAGCAGCTGCCCTATTTGGCGGCCTGCGCGATCATATTGCTTATGGAGCCGGACTGCTCCTTGGCGGTCTCCACCAGTGAATCCTGCAACAGGAGCCAAACCTCATTCCTCTGTAGAGCATTTCATGGCTGAACGCAAAAAAGCTCAGGAGCCCAAGAAAAGAAAAGCTGCCACATAAAGAAGGTAGATGACCGGCCGAAGCTGAGGTCGGCCGCCCAAATTCAGCATGTGATATTCCTACAAATTGACGGCCTCTTTACTAAAGGGTAGGTTCTGCCCGGGCATCTTTTCTACGGCCCTCGTTGTTGGTAGGGCCCACAGAAAGATAGAGAGAGAGAGAGAGAGAGAGAGAGAGAGAGAGAGGGAGGGAGGGGCTGCCACGTGGGAAGATGTCAAAAAGATTGCTTAAACGATCATTATGTTAGAAAATTTGTACATAATGCAATGATTTGCTTTATTGTTACCTGGGCTGCTATGAGCCGGGCCACAGTCTTCTTGCTTGACTCTTGGAGCTCTCCAGCGATCAGTAGCTCATCGAGTATGTAGTACGCCTAACAAGAGAGAGAGACAAAGGGCGAAATTGGGTCAGCAGAGCCATAGATCGAACGATTAGTCAAGACAAGACGCCAGCCCACCTTGTGGAAATTGAAGATCAGATCCAGCTCACAAACCTGCAGGGAATGGAAAAATGTCAACGCTCCGACAGTGAAGTCAAAGATTTGAACTAGAGCCAGGGGTCTGTCGCCTCACGCTTCCAAAATAGCGATCCAAAATCTCAACAAAATGGTGAATAATCTCGAGGGTCTCCAGTTCATTGTCCTCTGCATCAACGCACATGCAGAAGTAGAGACTGGCATATCTGCAGCTCGTGTTTTAGATATTATTGTCAAAAGCTTCATTACATGAACTGATGAACTGATAGGGTATGATTACTTGAAAAAGAAAAATAAAAAGGCCATCGATCAGCGCAAGAAAAAAAATAAAATCAGACGTGAATGTAGGATACCTTTTATAGACAACTTTCAAACCTCTCCATTCTACAAAGTTACAAAGCTTTGGTCCCCGTGTCAGAATGACTCCACTAAGCTCTCGAAGCACCTGCACAGTAATGCAAAATCATCAAAATTATGGAAAAGATGCGAATTGAGAAACGTCTCCAAAGAAAGATAAATTTAGGTCTTTTGCCTTTATTCACATTACGCGAATAAAACATAAATAAACCTCAACATCAAAAAGAAAACATCAGGGGGGGCAAATAAAAATAAAGCATCTGTAATACTAAACATTCCAGAACTTAGTTTTCTCAATTCATACCTATTAGAAAGAGCAGATATTGGAAAACAAAACCTAATGCAAGCAAATGTCAATTTGCTCAATAGATAGCCATAGAAAGGTAATGTATCTCAGTTATTGGAAAACCTAAAACTAGTATAAATAAATAACATATCTGGTACAGGAATTGAGGAGAAACATCTGTAGCGAATAAGAAAGATACCGGCGTTAGAACAATAAATCTTTAAGACATTATGCCAACTGTCACTATAGAAAATGTTGGAACCAAGGAACCAGAAATACACTGACATATCAGACATGTTCACCCAATTCTGAGGGTCTGGTCTGGTTGGTCCTGAATTTTCTAAAATCTTCGTCAAGATTTATGCACTGAAACTTGCCAACGTCAGATGAGTTGCAAATCAATCTGGAATGATCAGTTCTCAGAATTTGACAAGATTGTCACCAAATTCCTTGTGGTTAAAAACAGTTCTTTATCAAATACATTTCTTACAGCCAGTGGAGAAGTTTATAAAAAGTTCTTTCTTTCACCGTCTAGGTGACATAAAGTCCTCACTTTCTTTTATTTTTCATGTGAGAGCAAGGAAATTTAGAAGAATGTTTAAGGATTATTTCCCATCAACACCAAGGTCAAATAAAGGACAGAGTAACATCCCATGTATATGGCACAACTCAAATAGAACCGTGCCTTCTCAAATACATTTCTGCAGCAAGCTGAAAACAGTTGTGAGGGGAAAAAAAGAATAGTGGAGGAGAATAATAAGGCGTCAAAATGTTTACAATCGGCTACTGCAGGAAACATCTAGACGCTACATTCTGTACCTTGGATCTTTCCTTCTGTGCGTATGGAGAGTACCATTTAGTTAGCCTCACTTTACCTTGCCGGCTGATGAGAAGCACAAAGTGAATCTGAAAAAGCAAAGATGTTTGAACTGATTTTTGGGACTACCACTAAAGTTTTCAGACTTGAAAAATGTATGAAAGTAGATACTATTTAAAAAGAAATATTATAAACACGTATGCATTCCGAAAGTCAAACAATCAAATCTAAGCTTCTACAAAAAATACACCAGATCATATTTTTCACAAGCCCACTAACTCGTAGTCATATTGAAGAAAATGATATACTGGACGAAAAATCTTGTGATCAAATAGGATTATGAAATGCGAAAAAAGGAGATATCCGGGATGTAATCAGCCATGATGATGTCCGAAACGCGAATGAAGAAAAATTAAACCATACAATCAGAAATAAAACCGAGAATGCCACAGAGCAAAAATAAAAATATTTAGAACCGAAAAAATAGATCTCGATTTCTCAAAGCTCACATTAATGTACATTGAATATTTTGGAACACTAGGCTTTTATCCAAAGTCATCCTTCCACTGTGTTTTAACTAACTATATGGAGCCAGAATATGTAACTTAGGCAAAGGGATCAGGCATGCACATATAGATGTCAGAAGCGTCTTCAGTCACTTAAAAAACTTTTGACTAATTATGCGTGATTTTCATGAGGACAAATTCTCGTCATATGATTAAATTTCGGGCAATGGCTACACAAGCAATGCAGAATGTCAAGAAAACGTAAATTTTTCAAGATATAGTCATCAATTCTGTATTATAGCGGTTCAACGTGCCCATTTGATGTTTTTATTTTACCACAATTAATGAATTCACGTCCCACCGAAGGTGCTGAAAATGTTGTGACTCCAAAACTTGGAAAAAAAGAGTGAAGGATACCACGTGGCCATTTAATCTGCATATTGCTTTCGTTGGTTGATTTAACGAAGATCGTCCGATTCTAAAATACCAAGTAGAAACTCACACGATTAACATATCAGATCACCAAAGGGTTTTTGTCTTCCACCTACGCTGGCCTCTACCTCCCCAAATATCTCCATGTTCAGAGTTCCGGTAGACAAGGACTAGATCTGGAAAGAGATCAAGACGAAATTTCCGAAAAAAAAGCCATTAATCGTCGATCTAAAATATCGCCAGAATATCCTCAGTTACGGACAGAAATCAACATTAGATCATCGACGACAACCGAAATCGGCGAGATCGGAGCACCGAGAGGAAGAAAAAAATACGAAAATAGAGATGAGGACGTCAAGTAAATATCACCATTCTCGAGAATATCGGAGCTCAGGAGGGATGCCAATGCCGGAGAAGCCCGTCGTCGGTGGCGGAGATGAACCAGATCGAGGACGGGAACAGAAGAGCAACGATGAGAGAGACGAGGCCAGAGGAGCCTCTTAGTGGCGGGTCTCGGATCCACCGCAAAAGGCTACTGGGCTGTTTACATTATGAATATGGGCCCATCAAGCCCATGATCCGGCTCTCAGCTCCAAGCGCACTCCACTTGTGATTTCCCCTTCTATTCCTCTGAGTTGACTTTGACTTGGGAATGACAGTGGGCCCGGGAGAGGCCACAAAATCAAACAGAGGCCCCTCTCCCTCCCTCTCCTACTAGCCAGTAAGACCATTAAAATCAGACCGTTATAACATTTGAACAAAGTGAAGTCAACTGATGTTCTCAATAAAGTCAACGCCCATACCCAACAAGAAGGAGAAGTCAGAGAAGTCTCTTGAACTTGGACATCGCTCAAGATGAAGCACTACAGTTCAAGAATGACTGCATTTGACTTTTTGCTTCTCAATCACGTCACAAATGATATAAACTCATATGGCACTATGTTACAACCTCAAAACAGAGCAAGGTCAATTTATGGGCTCAATAAAGTCAATGTCCATACCCAACAAGGTTGAAGATCAAGAGGGAGAAGTCAAAGATAAGTCACTTGAACTTAGACATCGCTCAAGATGAAGCACTACAGTTCAAGAAATGATTGGTTTTGACTTTTTCCTTCTCAATGACTTCTCACAAATGATATAAACTTCTTACACATAAGATTTTACATTGGTGGAGTCAACAAGATCATATAATGATTTGGTCAACCAAACATACTCCACTTTCTTAGGACAAAGTCATCAAGTTATGTTTGACCATATGGTGCTAGCACATAATAACTCATTAAGTTACAAGTCAACCATGATGAATCTCAAATTTATCAAACTTTTACAGAATATATGGGCCTCATTGAACATATATGCTAGATCTTATAACTTCAATGAACAAACCTATGCTTTGAAGACTAAGGTATCATAGAACATGGAATAAAGTATGCCATGGTTAGTGTCTGGTGGTACATGTGAAATTATTTGTACTCTTGGTGTGCTCAAGGATGAAGAAATCTCTTGCTTTGACAGCTTAGAGAGAGGTGAGAGCATAGGAACCTCTCACTGATTTTTCTTTTTTTCTTTTTTGCTTAAAAACTGAATTTAGGCAAAAAGACCTTTTTTATACTTAGCTTAATGGGTAGTAACGGTCATTATAACGGCTAGTTTGGGAGTTCAATTTTTAGTCACACTCACGCCTGAAATTGAATCATAAAATATTTTTATTAATATTATAAAATACATAACAATTTGAAATATTTAAACTTGATGGGTAATTTAATATATTTTATTCCCTCTCGAATTAACTTTCCCACAATTGACCACATATTTTGAACCATTTTACAGCTAGAAATCACTTTGATCATATGGGTCATTCTGCTCATAAATGGATTATTCACCTGATTTAATGAACTAATTAAGTAAATAGTAATTTATATTTTAAAAATGATACAAAGTAGTCATATATAAGTTATTAAATTACACTTTGACATCAACCCATCTCTCTCTCTCTCTCTCCCTCTCTCTCTCTCTCTCTCGTTGCACCAACAAAGGCCCCTAAAATCAGACCATTGGAGAACGAAGCAAGCTGAAGAAACGGCAACCATATACCCGAACAAGGCAGAAGATCAAGAGCGAGAAAGCATGGACAAGTCGCATGAAATCCCCACAGCAAAGAAAAAGCCTTGGAAAATCCATCATTTCCTGTGCATTAGTATAGGTAAACTGCATCCACAGAGCTTTCAAACGCACGAAGAGTTGAGAGAGAGAGAGAGAGAGAGAGAGAGAGGGTTCAACGGCCACAGAATCCATACAGCATCGCATCACACGCGGTTCCAATTTTCTGCAAGAATAAATGGACGCCAATTATCCCCGGAAGGAGACATCTGAGTGTACATCCTCGGAGACGGCACCCAGGTCCCCCCCTACTCTTCGGCAGCGCTCGCTGCGTTCAGGTCAACGCTCAGATCAACAGCCTGCAATGACACGATGAATGGAGAGCTCAGTCATTCATGACCGCAGGCAAATAATCAACGGAAAAACTTCATGGACCCCCCCCCCACCCCCCCCCCCCCATCTTGGTCAACTGAAGAAATCCGCGGCCCAGCAGAAACCAAGAACACGATGTATGGAAACCTTGGCTGTTCATGGGTCTTCTTGAAGCCCAATAATCCTCAAGAAGGTAAAAGCTGAAGGCCCAAGAAGATTCAGCCGTTCATGCCCACAAGCATACTACAATGGCGGCATTATCAAAGTCAACTCTTAGAAACCCGTTTCTGTCGGAGAACTGAGCTTGAACCCTAAAAGAAAGCAAGGTGCAATGCAAGCAGGAGAGGAGGGAGAGCCGCCATCACCTTGCCAGTAATCATGGTATACATCCTAAGAACATCCCTGACAGTCGTCTCGAAGTGGGTCGTAGCGTCGTAGCTCTGCAAAAGAGAAAGCAAAACACCAAGAAACTTACGAAGCTGGAAGCCTGTGGAACTGAGAGAAGAGAAGATTATTCAAGGATCCCGCCTTACGGTAGATATGAAGCAATTATCCAGAGTCGGCTCATTCACGGGCTCGTATCTGTCATAAGTTTCATAGAAGATCTCGTCGACTGGGCCCAGAAGAGCGACACCTGGCCTTAGTTCTACTTCGGGGTGATCAGGTCTCGGCGTCGGTCGAGACGAAAGCTATGAACTTCCCCTTGGGGGCGACGTTGTGGGTATAAGAGCAGCAGAAAACGTACCTGTTGAGAGAGAAATGGAATGGTTTGAGCTCAATGGTGGGTGACGGTTAGGAAGCTATGTGCACCAGAACTCACATGTCTGATCTGCGCCCCAGCTGCTTCTGAGGAAGAATAACCTGCACTGAGTGGGAATCATCCGTGTTTGGGATCGGATGGCTCATAATGGCGATGGCCCTCGCAACTTTTCCAATCTTCCTCACCTGCGTTGGAAGCCAAACGTTGGTCATTTGAAAATATTTGGTTGTGTTTCATATGTTGGAGCCTGGACATGAATGTGTGCAGCAAGAGAACCGCCACAGTCGGGCGGCGGGTTGCCGTTGGTATCCATGGAGAGAGGGGGGCAGAGGCTTCTGGGCTTCCAGGCCATGCAGACCCATTTTCAACCAGTTATCGCATCATTAGTTCGTAGAAGATCCATATTCAATGCTTCATATTGACAAGAAAGCTTGAAGTATTATTACCTTGTTTGGCAAGTAGGACGGATCGCAGACGACCTTCTTGCATTTGGCAGTCTCCCCTTCAGAGGTCACACCACAGACTTTACCTTCCTCGTCGAACTCCACCTGTGACATTCAACAGACAAGCCCCACCATTCTAAGCAGTATTAGGAGCTAATTGATCATAATCAAAGGCTTGGGTAGTTGTTTCCATCCAGCAGATCACATGATCACAAAATCATGGTACCCAAACAACCAAGCAACCCATTTGAAATGATGCTTCCAGAAATATATTTCATAAATGATATAGATTATATATATGATATATTATCTCGAGTTCATATTAAATATTTCTGGCTAATAAGTTAAAGAAATTTGGCAAAAAGAATAAATCATAGTCTTCATACATAGGTTTCTACTGCTATTGCATAAGTATTAAGTGCAAACTAATTACGCTGATCATCAAATACAATACACATCTGTACAAGGCGACGCCAGCTTGGCTGCCAGACGATGGGCTATATTACCTTGGACGCTTAAAAACCATTGAACAAGATCCCAAGATCTCAAGTATTGCTCCTAGGCTCTAAAAAACTTTACCTAAATCCTAGCAAGAATAGATCGCCACGCCAATGATGTTCACTGAAAAGTCAATTCGAATTCAAGTAAAATATGCAAATAGTAATGCTAAAAGATAGATAGAACCAAGTATACACAAGAGTAATATAAATACTGACATAGACCGAGATTCATATCAGAGAAGTGGCAGCATAGATATTATCCAGAAATCACTAGTACCAGCATAGATTCAGAGGGCAAAAAAAATAATATATTGCACCGAAAAAGCTTAGCCCACAATCTTAATATAATCAAATAAAGTAGAGAGGGGTAAAAAAAAAATTAATGTAAAAAATACCTTGCATTCTGGTTTATTTAGCATGTATGTTCCACCATAAACAGCACTTAGGCGAGCAAATGCCTGGAGAGTTTATCGCACTCTATCAATAGAAAACTAAAAACGTGAATCATGTAAAGTAGAAATCTGAAAGGGCACGAGAGCTGCTCGCCTGCGGTAGCTCCCCCAAGCCATATAAAGGATAAATGTATGGAGAACCCCCTCCAAAACGTGCTAGAGATTCAGCATAAAGCTATTCACAGAAAACATAGAAATACAGGTATGCCATTTAGTCTAGGTGTTCTGAACACAGGAAAAAAAAAAAAAGGGAAAAGCACACAACGCATAAATGAAACAGAGATCTGAGAGATGCACAATACATCAACTCTAAATAGAAAACTAGTCAGCTCATTTCCGGAACATCTGTTGAGAGAATAGTCTCCATGCGCATTAAAAATAGAGTGAAATCAGTTTTAGAAGCATATATGAAATAATACAGAAGTTATCTGATAAAACTAAACCCACCCCAAACTAAGCTCATTCTGAACTACTTTCTCTCTAAATTTTATGGATTTCTCTTTAGAGTTCACTCAACAATGGTCAGGAATGGCAAAGAATGATCTTTGTACATGAATGCATGTATGGACGGGTGAATCAATGTGAAAAAACAACTTTGCCCAAGGTGTGCGAAGCAGATAAGTTGGCAAACAATGGCCAGAAAAGACGGGAAACTAGCTTGGTATTGAATCGTGCTGATCTAGCTGTTAATTGAGGGACGGGTTGCGATTCAGCCGTACATACAATGGACAAAATGGAAACTAAAAAGTCTGACAAAAATCCCAAAACGTCCTCTCCAACACGAATAACAACTGAGGTAACCAGTGTCAACAGAAATCCATCAGCAGGTCTTTAACGTGGTCAGGATAATATGAATACGATCAAACGGTTCAGAAAATGGAGAAATATGGATCCCACCTTTCAACGAAATTCGCAATGAATTCAAGGTTTTCAAAAATAGCATAGTGGAAAGAACAAGAGAAAATAAAAGCTGAGATCAAAACTGCAAGCATTTAAATGAATGTGGACAAGAAACCACAAAACAATAGAATATAGAATTTCCTGAAGTTAGGTAAAAGACATGGAAAGATTATTTTTTTAAAATCATAAATATTTAATTTAGCAGAAATTATGTTTTTGAGTCAGAGTCTGTCTCCAACCCAACTAACCTTGGAATGGAAAAGACAATGAGAAATGGATTTTCTTCTGTTTAAATCTGAAGCGATATGAATCGACATAATAAAACTTGCTCAACACCATTATGTTGCCACTGACAGCAACCTAATCTACTTGTCATAATCATGTTATAAGACAATCAATAGCACCCTGATACAAAAAAAGGATTGGAAGAGTTCTGCACTATTGAAAGACACACAGATGAGATATACGTTGATGAATACGTTCGCTATACCTTCATCCTTTGCACAGTATCCAGTGCTGGCTGATTCAGGTGGCGGTCATCTCTATGCAAGGCCAATGCGTGACCAATGAAATCCACAGTGTTCTCATCAAGACCGTATTTTCTGGATGATGAAGAATCACAAGCAGAGACCAGAAGGTTACAGCAGACATACCAAATGCAGCTATCGTAATCAGGAACGTTTTTTCATTTGCTGTCAGTAATCATGATTTAGAAATAATAAACTGAAAAGAAAAAGGGTATAAAATCATATCTAATTCCGAATATTGGCGAACACATCGTGTTCTTTTCAAAATTATGTTCATATGTATGGACACAACATTCATACTCTATTCACCCAATCATCAAAGATCAATGCCCAGGGAAGAATTCAGTGAGATTCAATGTCAGATAGTTCACCGAATAAACAGAAGCATAAATCCCACAGAATGACAGTTTTTGGGATAACCTCATAAGGGACTATTTTCTAGGGGAGAATGACGAATTCCTCACGAACATATTGAAACATGCGGACAGTCTACAAGGCATACCAACAGAACCCACAGTATTACAGAAAACTGGCCAGATAGCATCCATCTCTCTAATTTTTTACATTTATAAAACATTTTTATCCTATTTTTTACTTTTCAAGAGTGTAGGGCTGGAATTCATGAGAACAGACAAAGTAAAGGCAACTCAGCAGAGATTTTATACTACTCTCTCTCACAATCCAATTAATGTGCTCTTGCCTAGAGGCAAGGGCAGGCTAGGCTTAAAAGGGCCTTGTTTCAATTCAAAGCAGTAAGGAAGAACTTCAGTTCTGGGTTCACCTTGCTGCATCATGGACCCGAAAGATTGTGTTATATTTAGCATAGGCATTCTCCTCAAATCATTTTCCCTAGCACAGACCTCCCCTTTTATGCATCAGGTAGCGATTCTTTTTGAGAAGCATTGCAAGACATCGGCTTCTCATTTCTATAACCTAAGAATTAAATTAAAGCATGCATTATGATGTTCCCATTCCTGACTCATCACAATGGTTTCACGCAAGATTATCAAACTCCATAATCACTTATGACTGTATTATACAGTAATCTCGACTTTGGACAGTTTTCATTCCCAACGACACCTGCATTGCTCAGGGGATGTTATGGTCCAATAAAGATCTGGACTACCCTATCAAAATGTCGTCTGAATAATTCTCAAACTTTTATTTGTTTCTTTCCTTCCATAGTTAACCGCAGATTTTTTAGACTTACTGCTGACCATTTCACATCTTCTCTGATCAAGGGCAGTGAAGCTGTCAGTCCGGAATCCCAGCATGTAAGTAATAGCTAGTTGATCAAGTCAGGCATATTCAATCAAGTCTCTCGATCTTATCCTGTTCTAAAGTAAACCACGAAGATTCCTGGGGAGTTTCAGCCAAATCATTACAGCTTAGACTTCCATTGCACATTCAATGTTTTAACTTCTTGTATCCGAACCACTATGCATTACCCTCACTAGTACCTAGACTTGATTAGAAGAAATAAGTATACAGTTGTATCATATCCCACGATCCAATTCTATAACAGAAGCTAAATCATTTCCATAAAAAATCATTGTACTGATCTCAATTAATGGGGCATGCTGGACAATGTCAGAAAAGAAAACAACATTTAGCTATCTCACTTCTAACAGGAGGAAGCGCCTCTCTCTATGTCAAAGAATGAAAAAAAGAAGCCGCAATCTCAGTGTAATTGCGTCCCTTGAGAAAAATGTTTCTTCGTGATTAAGTTCGCTTTTACTTTACAAGTTAGAACCTGCAGTGCATTGAATCTGGTCATACTCACATGCAGTATTCCCGTTGCTTGTTCCATCTTTTTTTTCTTATTAATTTTTTTTCTTTAGGAATCAATAACTACACAATAAATAAGGAATAATTACAGAAATTTTGTAAGGAGAAGGCAAGAGACATTACGAAATGAGTTCCCTCGTTGTCACTCTGGTAAGATCCAATCCCTCATGCGTTCTGGGGTCATCTTCTTTATAGTTTTGGACATATATGAAGAAATTGCGAGCACGACGCTTTTCAAACAAACCCATCAGTGGAGATCTTAGAGCTTCCATATCAGTAGCTGGAACCTTGTGAACCTATTTGAAATGGAAAATCACAAATGTGGACCTTTGAGCCAATGATGACCAATGCCTCGCAGTGCAAAGGAGACAAAAGAGCCAAGATGGACTACTTCAGAAGTAAATCAAGTAAAAAAATGGCATTACCTTTCCCTTGTTGAACACATAGCTGCCGTCCACAGCCTTGAAGGAGAGATATTTTGTAACATCTGTGTGAATGAGGACCCGTACCAGGGTGCCATTAGCCATCATGAACTGTACACATGAACAGCACTACTCAAGGTTCATCCCAAGAAAGAAAGACCCACAAACTGATAAGAAAAAACTTGGAAGAGGATGTGATGGCTAGTACTGATTCCAAGTGCACATTACTGCCAGATATGAAAATAGGAAACAAAAACTATACGGTAGTTTTTTCTTGGAAGTAGTTTTATATTCGTCGTTTCTCCCTTTATAAAGACGATCATAAATGATTAGTTAATTACACGTAGAGGGTAAACTGGTGTGCATTATTTGTTCATTAGAAGAAAAAAAAAATCCTCCAAGTAAAACCAAGGGAATAAGTAATGTGAACCTTTGGAATCATGTCAACGTTATAATCTCTGCTTGGCCCCAAATGTGCTGGAGGTTTGTCATCTCCCCTGAACCTTTTCCAAAGCTGCGCAAGAGAAGAAATCATGAGACTGAAGAAAAAGGAAAAGATCCCCACACTAGAATTCACTGATTGATTAACCAATCAATGGTACATTGTATTAAAAGCAATAAATTCGGAAAACATATCGAATTTCTGTTTGCTCCATGAGATTGAAACTTTAAAATCACAGAAAATCGATTTTAGATCAGTCATTCACGGTAAAATGACATGCACACAGTTCCAATGGAACAAGAAATTTCACTCGAGTCACCAGAGGCACGAGTGTAACAAGGAATCATTCGCAGGTACAAATCAACATTCTTTTGGTGCACTTTTACATCCAGGATGACGTGGTTCAGAAAAAAATTCCCTTGCCTGGATAAGATTGAGTGATGTCGATTCTCCTCCATAATAATCATTTCTATCCATATGCAGAACCTGAATCACATAAAAGAAACATAATATTGTAATTATTTCCACTAAAGATGCACAAATTAACAATAAAAGGCCATATGGCATTAGATTACACGGGAGGAAATACTCAAGGCGAGAGTATTAGAAATAATCCACAATATTATGCAAAATTTTCAAAGTTTCAATCCTTTCTCAAGGGTCAAACACAAGTTAAAGAGTAAGTACGCCATCTAAGCTGTGGCAGACCAGCACGGAATGGTATGCTCATCACATTAACGTTGGATGATACAACTATTCCAGGAAAGATGGAAACTTTATTGAAAGATACGGCTAGTTCATTGCTCAGGAATATGCAATCTCAACATTAGAGCAAACACTAGACATTTTAATAGGTTAAACCAAAAGAGTAAAAATAGTATAGAGATCACGCCCAGTTGTTCCACTTCAAAAACATCTAGATTGTATGCAAAAGCACCGACTAGAGAAAATAAAAGAACCACAAAAGTCGAACCACAAAACAAGCATCACTATCTTAATCTATCATATCCGCTACGCTCCATAAAAACGGGCAGTCTTAAAAGCTAAGCTCGTAACTAAAGGCAATATAAATCATAAGATAAGCATCAATCTGATTTTATCTCTCCGCGCCTACTCAACAAAAGGATATTTTCATTTCATCAACCACACAGGTATAACTAGTATCGTATATTAGTTATGAACAATGATAGGGTATGCGATCTTTGACAATGAACCATCAAAAATCCCAGTAAAATATGTGAGGTGACAGATAGGAATGTCCAGGGATATCATAACCCCGACTCATTTTATTTTTATGTAACTTTATTAATGACTAAAAGTCCCTAAAAAAATGTCTAAATGAGACCCCTCGATGCCCCTCCTGAATCTCAATCTACCAACCCCTCAAAATAAAGAATAAATAATAAATAATAAAATCATAATAAAAAAGAAAGACATGATCTGCTGATCCTCAGAATCAATTCGGAACGAGAAGCTCGGTGCTGACACCTGGTTTACCTACAACCGCATAACCCATTTGGCCAATCCCCCGGGGAGAACAAGGAGTAAATATGCGGAATTTTCATAAAACGACGAACAGAGGCATTAACAAGAAAAAGAGAGAGAGGAGGACAACGGGGAGAGGTGGACCTTGCATCTGTCGACGGAGAGGAGCCCACTGAGGATGCATTCCTTGAGACCAGTTCCGAGAACGATCACATCATACTCCTCATCCATTGCTGCAGCGGCCCCGGCGAGGCGAAGCGGGGGTTGATGAGATCGGGGAGGAAAGTGCACGATGGGGAAGGGGATGGGGAGTCCTTTTGACCCAGCTGGAGGGGAATAATGGGTCGCGAAGAAAGCAGAAAGGAGGCAGAAGACCCCCCTGATTTATACAGGGCAGAAGGTAGCCAAGTTCCCGACGCCTTATAAAATGGATTGCCGGAACTCATTCCACCAGCCGAATTATTTTTTGGGCCGGGCCGCTTACTCCGGACCTCCATTGAGCCCACTTAAAACAGCCCAATTAAATAGAACCCGGTTTCAAGCCCATCACGGGTGAACCTGACCAGGTGGACGAGAACTGCTTGGGCCAGCTGGGGGCCGGGGATCGTTCACCCCCCCGCCCGGAGGAGAAGAACTGGTCGGCACGGTCCCCCACCAAATTGCGCGGATTAAGTAAGTATACGATTAATAGAAATGAAATAAGACAAATAAATGTCCCCATCATGAAGTTGAGAACTTCCATTAATGGGTGCCGAAATACATCCGCCGGGACATGCAGAGGAAAGGGAGGGAGGGAGGATTAGGGTTTCGGCGGGGTGGTGCTTCCCCTACTGCTTCTTCTTCTTCTTCTTCTTCTTCTTCTTCGTTTTCTTCTTCTGCTGCTGCTAGGAGATGAGGTCGCACCACCAGAGGGTCCGGCGGACGGAGTCGACGGCGGCGGCGCTGAGGCCGCCGCAATGCTTGAGGTTGAGCCCGGCGAGGTTGCCGCGGAGGGCCATTTCCTCCAGGCTGCCCAAGCTCTCGTCGGTTATCCCGCTACAGCCCTCCAGCGAGAGCACCTCCAGCCGGCTGCCGCTCCGGCACGACGGCCCCGCCGCAGCGGTGGAGGAGGACGCCAGCAGCCCCGCCACGCCGCCGTCGCCGATGCGTTTGCATCGGGAGAGGTCGAGCTCCACCAGAGCCGGGCAAAGCAACCCGATCAGCCGCAGGCTTCTGTCAGTCACGCCGTCGCAGCCCTCCAGAGCGAGCCGCTTCAGCGCCTCGCTTGCGCCGCTGACCAGCGCCGCCACACTCCAGTCGGTGATCCTCCGGCAGCCGCTGAGGTCGACGCTGCGCAGGCCGTCGCGTCTCTGCATGGCGGCCATGAGGGAGACGAAGCCCCCGTCGGTGACGGAGCAGAGCCCCACCAGAGCCATGCGCTTGGGCCTCACCAGCTCCCTCCCCAGAGAAGATAGGAACTCGTCGCCAACCCTCGGGCATCCATTAATGGTTAGGGACCGCAGGAGAGGGCACCGGCCGGGGACCATCCCTCTTCCTCCCAGGGGAGCTCCGCCGACGCCATTACACTTCACGAGGGACAGCGCCCTCAGAGAGCGGGACCAGCTTCTAACCGCCGCCATTAGACCCTCTGTGGTCACCTCGTGGCACTTCTCCAGCTCCAGGCTCTCCAGCTTCTCGGCGGTCTCGCTGAGCCGCACCAGGCCTCCGTCCGTCAGCGAGCTCCTCCTCAAGGTCAGGTTCCTTAGCCCCACGAACGCCGCCTCCCGGCGAGCAGCGGCGGCGCTTTCGCCGCCGGTGGCGAAGAAGCAGGCGTCGGTTAAGCCCCGGCAAGACCTCAGCTCGAGCGACCGCAGGGTCGCCGCCATGGCGAGCCGGCGGAAACCCAGGTGGGTGAAGCCCCACACGTTGTCAAGGGAGAGAGAGAGAAACCCTAGCGCAGTTCTCTCTCCTCGGTCTCCGATCGCCGCCAGTGCGCCGTCGCCCACGGCCGCGTCGACGATCCTGACCTTGCTGAGCTTCGGTAGAGAGGAGGAGAAGACGGAGACGAAGCCGGCGTCGCCGACCAGAGGGCAGCTTCCAATGGCGATGGACTCGAGGTTCAGGGAGAACTCGGCGAAGGCTCTGAGAGCTCCGTCGCCGACCCCTGGGCACATCTCCAATCGCAGCATCGATAGCCGGCGACAGCCGGCGGCGACGGCGATGAGACCACCGTCGCCGAGCTTCGGCGCGTTGGAAACGTCGAGCTTCTCCAGCTCCGGGCAGCCGCCGGCGACGGCGGCGAGCCCCTCGTCGCCGATGAGGACGCAGTTCCAGAGAGAGAGGGACCTGAGAGATGGGCAGGCGTGGGATATAATGGCGAGCCCAAGGTCGGTGACGGCCATCAAGGAGGAGACCCCGGGGGCCTCCATGGAAGACGCTCGGATGAAGATCTCCGTGGGAGCTCTGCGCCAGCAGGACCCGACGGCCATGGCGGCGAGGCGGGCGTCGTTGGCCTTGTGGGAATGGAAGCGCCTCGTCGCCGCCCCGTCGTCGCCGGCGGCAGCGGGGGTGGCTTGGAGCGCCTGGAGGAGGAGCCACCGCCTGGAGACAGCGGCGCAGGAGCAGCGGTCACTGTGGGAAGGGAGGAAGCTGAAGACGTGGCTGATGCACTCGTCGGGAAGGTTCCCGATGAGGTCCTGCGCCTTGTAGCAGCCCAATTCCTCCGACGGGGAAGGAAAGCTCCGCAGCCTCGGTCTCTTCATCGGCGGCGCCACCTCCTCGCCGCCGTCGACTGCGGCGACCTTCCCATAGCCGGATCCTCCATATCCTTCAGACCCATGCATATCGACCCGAGAACTCAAAGAGAGAGAGAGAAGCAACAGAAGGGCTCCAAACTAGAGCTCGCTACCAGGAGAAAAACCAGGGGGGGAGGACAGAGACAAGGTGGAAGGCATCGTTGCCAGCCGGGGGGAGGACGGCGGTGATGAGGACGATGATGGAAGCAGACGAGAAATCAGGGCATCGGTTTCGATTCCTCTCTCTTATGAAATGGAAGCAGGGAGAGGTCCCAGGTTCTCTTCACCTGCGCTTATCACCCAGCCACCCGCCACCCATCCCAGCTGACCGCCCACCGTTGACATCAATCGGCCCGTACCGGTAGCCGCCGTTTCTCTCGCCCCCTTTGTTACTGTCAACAACCTCCAGCTGGCGTTATCTCGTGACCTGGCATCCCAGGTGAGCGTACGCAGTCAGGGAGAAGAGCCAGCTGGAACGCCACGCTGACGGTGACTCTGAAAATGGGGCCGATTTTGAAGGGAAGGGTTATTAGCCAGCAGTGTATTTTCGATTTCTTGTAAAATGATTAAATTCAGAAAAGCTGTCCGTTGCTGTCGCCTTTTGAACGTATTGAATGAAATTCAATGTATCTTGGGGAGGGCGTCCGTCCAGGTCGGACATCTCCCTCCGGCACACGTTGGCACGATTTTGGACCATTCCGGAAGACGAGTGCCACCTGGGCATTTTTATCTCTCTGCTCGTTCTCTCTCTTCAAGAAGTGTAGAACATCCTGGGTAATCTCTCTACCATTGTGACATATTGGTCGGTGGGTGGGTTTCTAACTTTCTTTCTCCGATTAGTCCAACATAATGAGTGACTCTCTCTCTCTCTCTCACTCCCTCTCTCTCTCTCTTTCTCTTTCTCTCTCTTTCCCTCTGTCTAGCAAGATGTGGGGGGGGGGGGTGTAGTCCCTTGTTATGGGTACCTGCCATTCTCTTTCTCTCACTATAGAAAGATAGAGGGGAGTCCCATATTATGGGTATCTGCCACTCTCTTTCTCTCTCTTTCTACCATGATAGAAGTTTGGTCCATGTTATGGGTATCTGACTCTCTCTCTCTATATTTCCGAACGATGGGTTGAAAGAGGGGTCATTCGACCGCTTTGACTTTCTCTCTCTATAGCAGCTGCAGACTGAGGAGCCGCGAGATTCAGTGCTAAGCCTTCCGGATTTAACTAGTAGACAACCGTTCCCGGCTTTTACGCACGTTGAGAATTCCACGCTAAAAAAAAAGGACGATATTTATGGACAAATCGGAAACCCTCCCGTGAAATAAACGAGGACCCATCGGAAATCCCGCCGCCAACGAGCCGGCAAGCGCCGCCGGTGGCGGGGCCCCCGGCCAGCGCTGCCCCCATCCGTTCGTTCCCCTTTTCCCCCTCCCCGGTGGCTTTGGGCGAGCCGCGGGCGGCGGGGCCCGCCACGGTTCCAACCTCGTCTTCATTACGCCGCGTTGGAGGAGCCAGATTCCCCTCCCCGGCCCTCACTCATTACACCGGCGCCGCCCCGCGACGACGAGCGGCGGTGCCAGCGCACCGCAGAGGGAGCGCACCCGACTGCACCGCCGCCACCACCGGCACCTCCCACCCCCTCGCCGGCGAGCTGATCCTCTCCCCACCCTCCCCGCAGCTCTCCCAGCGAAGCTCGAAGTGCTATCCTCACCTGCTTTCTTTCGCAATGAATTAAAAGTCGCAATTTTTCGTCGTCTTCTCACGTGCAACTTGTCCACCGAACCCCAGGAGGGTGCGAGAGGCCCGATCAATGGCAGGTCTCCAATGAACCGGAAATTAATTTCAATAAATCTGGGGGAGGCAGAAAGTAGCCGTCAATATTAATGTCATGCTGCTCCTACATTGTAGACGACGCCTTTAAACCTTGGAACCTGGGATGGACCAAGATGGGCCGGTTTTTGCCCTTCTTGGTCAACCATGGGCATCGGAAATCGGGCCGGCCGCGTTAAGTCAAACTCTGGGCCCCCCCTTCCCCGGGGACTTTTCTTCTCGTTAAAGTTTCAATCTTTTTATTTGAATAAATAGCTAAATAAATAAACATAATGGCGTCATTCCGCGTCCGCGATCGCGTGGGTTTGTCCGTCTTGAAGAGAAACCGAAACCCAAATGTGTACAGATTGTTGGCGTGAGCGATTGGGATTTTACACAAGGAGAGAGCGATCAGGAACGCTGCTAGGACGGCGTATTATCATGCCCGGAAGCAGCTCACCAGGTGGTGGGGACCGTGGAGATGGTGGTGGCCGGTTGCGCCGCCGTGGGGATGGGAGAGGAGGAGCTGTTCGCGGTCGATGAGTTCCAGGACGGAGCGGAACTCGGCGGGGGAGCAGGGGATGGCGACGGCGCCGCGGTGGCGGAAACCGTACTCCTCCGCCGCCTCCCGGAGCAGCGGCGCGAACAGCGGGTGGCCCAAGTAGGACAGCGGCACCACGAAGCGCTCCAGTTCCTCCTCCCCTTCCTTCCCCACCATCACCACCACGCAACCCCTAGGAACATGATGCGCCGCCTGGGTCTGGCTCTCCCTCCTGCTCCCCCCGCCGTGGAGGTGGTGGCGCAGCGCGCTCAGCAGGTGGCTGTCGCCGCTCCCCATCACCCTTCCAAACACAGAAAGACAGAAAGAGAGAGAGAGAGAGAGGATTTACAGGCTGGGTGTGTTAGAGAGAGGAGGCGGCGGAGAAGGGCCAAGGGTCGGAGCTGGAGATGGTGAGGGAGAAGAGAGCGAGGGAGGAGTCGCAGAGAGATCGTGGGATGTTGGACATGGCAGGCAGTGGATTCGGAGGAAGGACGGACGGTCGGAGCGAGAGAGCCACGGAGGCCACGGAGAGTTATTTATAGGCACCCGGCGGTGGCGGAGCAGCCCAGCCATTGACCATCTCAAGGTCGGCGGCGGCCGTGGGCCTTCTCTCTTCGCTTCACACACACGGAAAGGCAGCGGCTATGGCTGGGTCAACGACACGCCTGCTAATCCAGAGTCATCCAGAAAACTCGAAGGAAAGAGATCGACCAGGATCGCGCCTTCCCCCGGAGTCACCGCGTCGACAGCACATCACGGGGAGAGGCGGCCGGCCGGGGAGAAGTATCACGTGCCGTTGACCTGCCCTACGAGAACGAATCTGGGTCAACGCAGTCGGATGGGTATCATCGGTAGGTTCGTAGTTTACCGACTGCTCCGCCGGGAGAGCCTGAATCGCGCTCAAACCACGCCAAGGAGCAGTTATTATCGTAACGCATTAATAAATGAGAAATAAATAAGTAAATATCGAATAAATACGAGTTAATATAAGACTACCATTATAAATCGACGGGAAAGAGAAAAAAAAAAAACCATAATTATCAAGAACTGTTCTACGCCGCCATTGACTTCACGATCCGACAAAACACTATTTCAAGCCAGAACCAGAATCGGGCTGACTATATGAGCAAGTCAACGACCATGACGCTGCCAAGCTGCCCAAATTTAGCTGAAATGGCGACCACTTCTGGAAATCTAACAAGAATCCCAAATCTAACCAAACTTAGCAAAAATATAAATCAAATCCGAGATGAACAGCCATGAAATGGTCGGATCGGAACCCAGATTATTTTATGGGAATCGAAGTCAGATAAAACATCATCGTAACGAGAACCCATTGGTCAAAGAGATGAACCACTTGTTCTTACTGTTTCTCCGGGATGGTGGGACCCTCCCTCTGCTTAAACTTAGGCAAATCACAAGCACCCGAAGAAGCTGAAGGATGAGAATCGAATCCATGAACAGAACAGAAGGTCAACGATACCACGTCCTTCCCCCCAGCCTTCTTATTGACGCAGAGAAGTAGGAAGGATCACTCATTGTCCTCCTTTCCGTAGTCGTACGCAATCTCTATCTGCAAGAGAGAGAGAGAGAGAGAGAGAGAGAGAGAGAGAGAGAGAGAGAGAGAGGAAATTACCCAAGAAACGGGTTCTCAGGATCACTCATTCATAAATTAGAAAAGACCACCATCATAAATGCTGGACATTTCATAAATTAAATGGGGTTAAAAAACTGAAAATCTGCTGATTCTCTTCGCATCTTTTTAAAAAGAAATGCCACTGTAAATAGTAAATTAATTCGTAATTCTTCATGAGCACAGTCTCAAACCCGCTCAAAATAGTAAATTTAGCATTAGTTCGGAGATCTGAGGTGGATCAGCATTAAATGATGAGAGATGTTCATTAACTGTTTCCCAATCTTCTTTCCCAGCAGTGAAGCAAATATCTTAAAGCGCCTCCTCTAAAGACAGCCAATTATGAGGTGGATTCAGCAATAAATGATGAGATACATTCATTCAACTATTTCCAATCTTCTTCCCAGCTCCCAGCTGCAAAGCAAATCTTAAAGTGATTCCCCCTAAAGTCAACCACCTGTTCCTCCTGCTGGGCGCCTAAAAATCTAAGGCCAGTGTACACCAGATCAACCCTTTTCTCCGTCGTTTCCTAAAGTCAACCACCTGTTCCTCCTGCTGGGCGCCTAAAAATCTAAGGCCAGTGTACACCAGATCAACCCTTTTCTCCGTCGTTTCCTCCTCTCGCCCTTCCCTGTTGACTGTTGGATGCTTTAATGATCTTCTCCTTTCCTCAGTTTTCCCTCGCTCTTATGAAAGCCTGCCTGCCACTATGTCCGCCTACTCCATCACTAACAAATGGAAGCCAGGATTGATCGGTCAATGCAGGATTAGTTCATACTGTCCAGGAGCTGAGGCCAGAAGGCTACTACTACCCATCTAGATGGGTGATGCGTAAATGGGGAGCCAAGAAGAAGAAAGATCTATAACAATAGATAAACGGAAATCTTGATGTTGGGGCCAAGGAAGCATGAAATTTATATTTATTTATCTTTTCTTTTCTTATAATCTAGCAGCCTGGGATGGAGTAACTGCGCCTGATTGTCAGAAGATGCGAGCGTAAAATACCCACAGAGCATTGTAAATATGCCATCAAAACGCCGGTGATAGAACCCTAGAAGATAACACACCAGAGCTTGCTTTTCATAAAGTGCTTCCGATAAATAAATGTAGCAACATGAATGGGGGATCTCTAGCTAATGAGATGTTTTTATTTACAGGGAGTAATATAAAGCTGATCTGCTCGAGTCCCCTGAGTTTCTCTTCACAGTTTCCATGGAATTGAATTCTGTGGGATGGCCTTTCTTCCCTCTCCTCAGGTCAGAAACAGAGGCAACGTGAGACGTTTTATGCAACGAACTACTAATGGAGCAGAATCATGGCTTCTATACCACATCGGAATTGACTTCCGCCGCCGGACGATGAAGTATAGAATATGAGTGGACCTTTAGGCGCTAGAACATCTAAGTTGCATGTCCAAGACTTGGAACATCAAAATTTTAGGATTACAAGCTGATAAGCTAACCCAAAACTGATTAATATGGGATGTTGAACCAATTTCAAGTAGGCGGACAGAAAGTCCGAACGTTTTTATGCATAGAGTATAAAATGCATTCGAAGAAGAAGGCGCATATACATCTCGTTCATAATGAAAGTTGATTGAGAGGAGAATAAAGAAGCTGGGTAAGCAGGTTTGAAGACCAGACCAGAACCCTAATCAGCTGGGTTTTGAGTTCAGTTTTCGTTTCTTATTGATCCAACTCAGTTAAGTTTTTAAAACACAGCGACAAAAAGCAATAGAAAAAAATAAACCAAGAAAAGAATCTTACCCCTGATGGTGGTTCTGGATTTCTTGTAAACTTCGAGCCACCAGGCGCCCAAGGAACTGCAAATGAACAATTACAAAATACGTAAACAATGAAACATTAAGTAACAAATTCAAGAGCATCAAGAATATAAAGTGCATAACTTCTACAAGTGATGATCAATTAAAAAATTATGTAAACTCCAAAAAAATTGTACAGACGAAACTAATTCTTCCTATGTATACCGCAATAAAAGAAATGATGGATATAGCATGCCTTTAGGTGAAACTTACCAATGTATGGGTCAGGATGTCGCATTTTTTCATAAGCTGCTTCAGCATCACCAATAAGCCTGTCAATGGTGTCAAGATCCTCCTGCAGAACGTTCAGTATTTTCATATAACAGGAAATGTAAATAAAACGTTTATACTTGCATTTTTCGCCAGTTAAAGAAGGAAATGTCAACTGACGTCTAAACGATCCCAAAGGAACAAGCGCTGACAGCAGTGCAAAAAAAAATCTTATTTTTCCCCCTTTTTCTGAAGTTTGACTATTAAATTCTTTTGAACCTCCATGGTTACGACCCTTGAAATGTGTGAAATGTTGACTGACATTGTGCAGTAGTTAACTTAGCAATCAAAAAGATGGAATGATCACGATTAAAAATAGGAAAAAACTTGCTGTTGTGGCTTATTATTTTTACTTATTACTGTGCAGACGGAGGAAAGTTTTGGATTTATTTTCATCTTATGGTGGTACCGGTGTCACAGTGTTTCTTCCCCCTCTTCTGTTTCAGTACATCGTACTTTTACTTTAGACTATAATATAAATAAGCCCAAAAACAAAATCACTTTAAAAAAGCACCACAAATAAGATGCTTCGGACATAAAAAACGATTTTTCTCGAAAATGAATGTATTTCCAAACGAATAAGGCTTGTGAACAGTCATCTCATAGTCCCAGGGACCTCAAAGGGCTGCACACGGAAAGTATATTATTTTCTTCTTGAAGATGATCCCAAACCAAGCTCATTGATGATGATATTATATATGATGTAAAAAATCTAAGGTGTCCGTGCATTTAATTCCAGATGAATTAGGGCCTGCTAGCCCAATTTTATAAAAACCATGAAAGAGAAAAACAACACAAACTTCAGAAAAATCCCTCAACTCACATTCTTATCTTGTAGCCATGAAAGGCGGTATGAATTAATTATTCCATATGCATTCAACCGGAGGTTATAAGGATATTCATTTTTTATTAGAATCGTGATGTCCTTGATCATTTCTCGATAGCGCATTACTATTTTACAAAGAAAAACCTTGTTTTCATTCGCAAAGGCTTCACAAACACCAAATTGTTCACAAATTCTTGCATCCTATCACAAAGTTTCCTCGGAAATAAGATAACTGAAAATTGGCCCCTGACATCTCAACTTCATTTTCTACCATTCTACATAGAGTTCAAGCATGACTTGCAAAATGAATGTATATATTCTCTATGTGTGACTTCTTTTGTGATTTGTGATAGCAATCTTCCTCCCTCTACATCACTCAAAGTATTGTGCAACCCTTCTCTATGGAAGGTTTATACAAATTATCAAAATTACTGGCAAATGTTTGAACTGGCAAACTGTTCTCCAAAACAAAACCAAACTCCTCAGAGATATCTAACCACTTAAGTTAATAAATGATGAACAATTTGGGACTATGCTCCATTTGCTCCCATTCCTGTATATCTTGCCCCCATAAGCTCTATAGATCAGATGGCATATTCCTCTGCCATCCACTTTGCTGATAGAGCTCTATCGAAACAGCTGATCTCAACTAATTTACTCTTCCTTCTTCTTAGCTTTTGCAGAACATACCCTACTGTCGGAAATGCAGCCCTTAGTCTCCTTGACAACTCGCTTACAATTAAATGGAAAACTTAATCGTTTCAGGTCCTTTTGTTAGGGTTCATAGAATTCTAAAACGTGAGAGTAAAAGGATTGACAAGCTTGAAACGGTTATGGCTAGGACCCATCTTTCTCAATCTGAGAATGCCTTTGGTCTTACTTCACTACATTTTCTGGTGGTCGTACAAAATTATTCGATCTCTAGATTGATAGGATCCTTCTAACGGAGGAAGCTCTAGATACTTGATCATAAACTATCTAATGCATAAACTAGATACTTGATCATAAACCATCCAATTGCACATTCAGCTGATTGTCACAACTACCTAATGCATATACATTATCAGACACTTCCAACAAAATCCGCCAGGTGACAATATTTCCGAGTCAAGTTATAAATATGCATAAATAGCTGAAGCACCATCGTTGAATACCCCTTTTTCCTCCAACTACAAGAATACCCGAGGAAACTCCCAAGGAAATTAAGATATTCTCCCCAAAATCACCATATCCCACCCAATCTCCTAGCCTTAGACAGACCGTTAATGAGGACCAACCAGCATATCCGACATTTTCCTTCTAAAATATTCAAGAAAAACTTTGGACCAATTAAAAGAGCTTGTCTGGTGATGCCCAAATTTCAGCTACTTAATAAAGATACCAAATTAAAAATAGGGAGAGAATAATGGACATAGCATAAAAAAAACCCACAATGTAGTTCACAATGTAGGTACCACCACACGCATTGTAGGAAAATATCTGCTTTCACATGTACTTCACATGGCATGAGCCAATATTTGCTTTTAGTGTTCACAGATGAACCAAGCGGTCAATGACCTATTCCCTAACACAGAAACTTAAATGTGGGAGTGGTTGTGTAACTTAAACGTAACACAGAAATTTTTCTAGAAAAACCAGCTAATATTTGATAATATTTGGAATATTTAACCTTAGTAGTGAGAGTGGTCGTGGTACTGTGGAAAAAAAATTGATCATAATTTTTGCAGCTTATGAACATGTCCCAAAAACTATGAAAGACAAACAAATACTGAATAAATTATGGAACACAGAAGATTCACACAAATACTAAAAGATGAATCTGATAGCAGAAACTTGTAATCATGCCTTTATATGTAAAATCGAAACTTTACCACGTGCTTGTTGGCCTCAAATCTCTCTCTCAATTCTGATGCCTGACCATATAATGGGGATGGAAACAATTGTTAACCTCGATCCAATATTTTCAACTTAAACATAAAATCAATCAAGAGAGGAAATAACGAGAATTAAAAAAGACGGATGGTAGAGATAAGCAAAAAAGATGTAAAAACATGAACATAATGAAGATATTACTTGGAATATCGAAGTTAAATAAGACTTTGGTTTCTCTATTATCATATTTATATTCCCACGATTATACAGACTATACACAGTCGAAAGTGTTCGTGAAGAATTCAGTGGAAGGAATATAGAAAAATAAAAGCAACCTAATATCTCATTCCTTGAATCAAAACATCTGGAAATTTGTGCAATATCAGACACCACATCTTACAGGAAAAAAAAAGCAACGAATTTTTACATGGAAAAATCAGTCTGCATGAAAAAGCAATCGAGCATGTGGGTCCCAAACTAAATGTACTATGTCCAAAATAGAAGAAATATCGTAGATTTGAAGCACTAGGGATTCTTCTTAATTAAAAAAATATGCTGATAACTAGCAGCCAATGTTGCAGAAACGGTTGCCACTACAAGATGGCACTTAGGTAATAACAACCTTCTATCGAGCGGGAACAGAAAAAAGAGAAAAAAATATATCACCATCGAAGTGGAGTGCTTTGGAAAATAAAAGTTCAACAGAATCAATCGTTGACAATTTATGACAGGCAAACGACGTCCGGCAAGTACTCTTTGCAGCGTCCCAATGACATCCTAGAGGTAGGATTTCTTCCCTGCAAGAGTTTATGGCAATGATGGCATGGAACAACGCCAGGTTGACCAGAGAACTAGAAGGTACCGCTGGTCCACTCCTCACCATTTCAGCCCGAGGTTAGTTTAAGCATGATTTTTTTTTCTAAAAGCTAATAGGCTATGAAAATGTAGAACGGGAGACGGAAAAGGGAATGAGAAGAGAAAACGCCTGGAATGGTGATTTCAGCGGTCACCATTACAGACAACGTCGGGAAAGGTGGAAGCCAGATTCAAGAGGATCTGAAAAAAAATCTCCTCAGAGAAAAAGGGAACAACGGAAGACAACGGGAGACACAGACAATCGATGAATCAGAGATGGAAGGGGCATACGTCCTGGTAGAAGAGGTGGCGATGGACGGCCCAGTTGAGGGTGTCCTTGAGGGCCCGCCGGTAAAGGATCCTCACTCGCTCCTTCTGCGCCGCCCTCCTCGCCATGTACGACGCCATCCCGATCACGGCGCTCATCTTGCCGCCTCTCCCCTGCTGCCCCCCGACCCCCTCTCCCTCTCCCACCACCAGCTCCTCCTGCCGCCTCTCCACCCCCCTCGCCTCCCCCCTTCTCAGGCAACCCGGACCGGCCCGTTTTATGAACCGGCACCAAGCCCAGCCCGGTTCTCTCGAACCTGAACTGCAATTAATAAATAAAAATTATCACTTATTTTATTTGTTTACACGCATTAATAAGCTGTTTATCCATCAAATTTCTATATTCCATGTCATAGTTATCTTTTATAACTAGAATGGAAAAACAGGTTTACCCAGTTCTCTCTCTCTCTCTCTCTCTCTCTCTCTCTCTCTCTCTCTCTTTCTCTCTACACATTAGTCAGCTATTTATCCACCAAATTCCTATATTCGATCTCATAACTTTTTTCATAATCGTGCCTTAGAATGGAAAAACAGGTTTACCCAGCTCTCTCTCTCTCTCTCTCTCTACAAATTAATAAGCTATTTTTTTCATAATCCCGTCTTATAATAGAAAAACAGCTTTTTCCCTGTTCTCTCTCTCTCTCAACACACTAATATGGTATTTACCTGCCAGATTTCTATATTCGATCTCATTTTTTTCATAATCCTGCCTTAGAATAGAAAAACAGGTTTACCCAATTCTCCCTCCTCTCCCTCTCCCTCTCTCTCTCTACACACATTAACAAGTATTTACCTACCAAATTTCTATATTCGAGCTCATTTTTTTTTCATAATCCTATCTTTGGAATAGAAAACAGGTTTACCCAGCTCTCTCTCTCTCTCTCTCTCCCTCTTTCTCTCTCTTGGTGCTTCGGTTCTATGCACAGGCAACAACAGAGAAGGCAACAGGTGCACAATTCCCAGTTTTAATAAATTAAAAAAAGGAAGGAAAACAGAAATGTGGGTTAGATCGGCATTTTTAATGTATAAATTATGAATTCGTCACTTATGGATCATCTTCAACCCGACGACAAGACGCGGCTCAGATCAGAGACAGCATCCCGTTTCCTCCAACCATTCTGCGATCTCCGGCGAGGCCTCTGCGGCAGGAACTGGAGCCCCAGGGCCTCCTTGAGAGCTTCATCGGGCTCCGGGAGACCGACGAGCTTCGCGATGATGGAGGCGCTCTCTTCGGTGAGCTCCATGTTCCCCGGATCGCTCCACAGCAGGCGAACCAGTCGGGCCTTCCGCCGCTTCGACTCCGCTGGAATCCCCCATTCTCGGTACAGACCTTCCCTCTCCTCCGGCGACAGCCTCCTCTGCATCCGCCGGCGCAGCATTCCCCTCTCCCGCCGAAGAGCTCTCGCACTGGCGGCGCCGCCGTCCGGCGAGGAAAAGATCAATCAGAGGGGAAGATGATCTCTGAAACTTGGGAAGAGCAGAGGGGGGATTCTACCTCGACGATGGCCGGATATCTTCCGGCACCGGCTGGTACAGATTTCCTTGCGCCGACGCTCGCCGGAGGGATGAGAGCCGTCTCCACTCCACCTCCATGTACGCAGAGTCTCCAGGGTCTCCTTTGAAGAGGAGGAAGAAGAAGGTGCGATGGAGCAAGGGGATGTCGCAGGCGTGCCAGAGCTCGACGATTTCCCGCCGCTTCTTCTCGAGTTCCTCTCGCGGCGAGCTCGATGGCGATGCCGGGGGATTCCTCCACGGCTTCTCCGTCGGAGTCTCCTCAGCAGCAGTCCCCTCCGCCGCCTGCGCCATCCAGCCGCGGAAATCAGCGGGCAGGAAGAGATTGCTGTTCTTCTTCTTCTTCGCGGCGTCCATGGAGTTCCTTCTTACCTGCGCCTGAGCCATCTCCTTCAACCCGTCCGCGAAGGCGCGGATGCTCGCCATGTCCTGCTCCGCGTCTGCCGCCATGTTCCCCTCTGCTTCGTGCTCGTCGAGGGACCTCTCCGAGGGCTCGAGCTCAGGGCGGCCATGGATGAATGGAAGAAGCCCAACCTGGAATTTCTCAGGTCTTCCCGGGAACCCACCGAGGGAATCACTCGGCGGTGTGTGGTCGTCTCGCTCGAGATAGGGTGGAGATCGCACCAGGGTCAACGGAGGTGAATCATGGGGGCGGCTCCGGTCAAAACTATGAGGAGCTTCCTGCTGCCCTGTTACTGATTCTTGATCTTCATGGCCACTCTCGCGATAGTTCAGAGCTTCACCGGACTCGTCGTCACCTCTGTTTCTTCTCCTCCAATCGTCTTGCTCGACACAGTGAACTTCCCGGTACGAGCCCTGGTGATGATTCCCGCTGCAAATACTGCTGGAGAGATCCTGAGATGCGCCTGAGGGGTCGCATGAACAGGGCTCCTGAAACGAAGGCAGAAAAAAAGGATCTTTATTATAGAAGAAGCAGAAGAGGGATTTAAGTGTTTCGCGGCAGGATGATGAGCACCCATCGCCTCGGTCCTCGATCCTCAGCTGCCGCTGTTAGCAGATCTTCTAGGCGAGACTGGGCGAGGTCGCGTTGCCGAGTGAGCTCTTTGATCTCTCTCCCCATCTGCAGAGAGGAGGAAATAGTATGAACGCCATGAACCAGCATCTTGCAGACAAAGCAAATCATGATTTCATCTCCCATACTCAAGATCTCGGCCATGAGCTACTGACAGGTATCAACGAGAAGGAAGAAATGAAGGATATCCCATGGATCGGCATCAACCAAACGAGAAAACCATCATTTCATAGTCACCTTCTCTATCTGGGCATCTTTCTCCTTCAACAATGTCTCAGCCTGAGACATGCTTGAGGCTGTTCGCGGGCATCTGAGCTCACCCTCCAATCTGGCCAGTTCTCTCTGCAAATGCTTCACTAATGCTTTGTCGGACATGACGACGTTGACCTTTGCGTTGGTCACCACCTCCTTAGCGCAGCCTGCGAACAACAGGGTGTTCTTGGACTGCTCAACGTGGCCTCGCGCAGGGCTCAAGGTGCAGATGATCGCCGTCCTGGCATTTCCTCCCAACGAAGGTTGAAGAATGCGGGTCAACTTGGAATCTCGGTATGGGATGTGCCCATTTCTTCCCTGGCTGCTCCCAAGAACAAGAACAATAATAACAACATAAATTTGTTAGACATGAGCGTTCCTCCGGTTCTCAGGGTGCCTCCCATGGAGCCTCCAGAAGACCCATCGCCATTTTTTTTCATCACTGAAGTGAATGAAGCATGCTGAAGTGAGTGAACCCTGCCATTCGATTTTATGGTGAACACTACTTCCCTTGATCATACCTTAGCTTGCGGATGACGGAGCCCAAGGTCAGCAAGCTGCGGTTTATGTGACAGCCTTCCTTCAACCTCACGCCGGCCGACAGAGCCTGAGATGCGCGTTCACTCCCGGCAAGGTCAACGAAGTCCTGTTCACGAGTAGACCAGAGGCACCTGAAAATCTCTGCAGAAGAATAACAGAACTAGAAATTTCTTCGTACCAGGCTGGCGGAGAGAGCACTCGAATGGTCCTCTCCCACGGATTCTCGAGCAGAGCTTTCAACGGTCTGATGAAGCAACCCATCGTCACAGAAAATCTAGGATCATCCTTTTAAAGCTAAAAATCACTCACCAGTCTGAGGATTTGGTGAGATCGGGAGCTCGTCTCATTCAACAACGTCTCCCCTATCTGCCTCTGAACTGATACCACGAACGCGATATCAGTCAAAATATGAAGGAAGATCGAGGATTGAGAGGGAAAGAAATGCAGAAGATGTATGCGACCTTCACATATCGACAGAAGCTCTTTCATGTGAGCCCAGTTCCTCAGTGTCTCCTCTGTAAGCTTTTCGATGACAGTCCCTCTCTGCAGGACATACGATCAATTAAGATCCTTTTCTTTAGAGCGAGGAGAACTCGGCATTCGGTATGAAGTCACTCACATAAGGATCATCAAGAAGCCTGAGAGGAACGCTTTCCGTTCCTAGCAGATCCTTGACAGCTTCATTATATATCTCGATTGCAGAGAATTTCAGTACAAAGGCTCTTTCCTGGTGCTGAAGAAGGCGCTCTCCGCCGACGATGCAGAGATGGCGGTCACTGACCAGAGGAATCAACGATGCAAGCAAAGCTGAATCTAGAACAGATTTTTTCTTACCCTCTGTATGTAGTCATAGATGTCACCCATAGCGAGCTCCGTTATCCCGGTCATGGTATACGTTTTCCCGCTGCTCGTCTGCCCGTACGCGAAGATGCTCGCTGATACAGCAGGACCTTCGTTAAGCTTCGTCTCGGCGAGAAGAGCGCTGGGAAATCTGAGGAAACCTAAATCGGGAATGGAGCTCACCGTTTATGCCGCTGAGGACGGATAGGGAAACTTCCTTGGCTCCCTCCTCGTAGACCTGTTTCGTTGTGCTGTCGCATCGAAACACTCTGTCTGCGATCCAGACACAGGAGAAGGAGAGCATCAGTGAATGCGCCCCTCGCTGAAGGATGAATGAAACCAGATCACCCAAGAAGAAAGAACAGCAGGCTTGCGAACTCAAATCCAAACTGGAATTTCCCGCGACGAAGGGGCAGGATCGAAAAGATCGCAGGAACTGCGCGGTCATTCGCCATCTATTTCTCAGATGTTGAGAATATGAGGAACCAGTGTGTGAGCAATGTGTCCCCCTTACCGAAGTTGTAGGCAATGGGAGTCATGGATCGCTCCGGCAGGCTGTTTCTGAAGATGATGGTGGTGTCATTGATGCATTCCCAATCCGAAAGCTCATTTCTCACGAGTTCCTTGGCATTCAGTGGCCTCAACCGCACCGAAACCTGAATCCGCTCCTTGCCGCCGCCGCCGCCACCTTCACCGGCAATGCCAGAGACGCCTCTTTCGTCGCTCTCCTCCCCCTCCTCCCTCCGCCTCCTCATGTCGTCCTCGCCGACGTTCCCCATTTCTCCCTGCCAGCAAGGGACACGAGATCATGAAATCCTTACCGAAGCCCTGCAGATTTGCTCACACCGCAAATGATAGACTCAGTGGAGGAGGAGAGCCGTTGCCTGCTCTTCCACGCCTCTACTTCTCTCGTCTTCGGCCCGGTCGGCGCAAAATCACGCCGCCCGAAAACGGCGGCGGCGGAATGTCGCCAGCAGAAGAGACCGCTCCACCGAAGAGAAACGGACTGCGGAGAGGAGACGTAGCGGGGAGGGAAGGTGGCGGTTCCGCCGCAGAATGCCGCCAGCTTCGACGATCCGTCGAGCAGAAGCTTCCTCGGTCTGAAAAGAAGCGAAGCGGCAGGAACAGCACGAGGACGAGGAAGAAGGGGTGTGAAGGCGGGCAGGGCAGTGCAGAGGGAGAACTTGGTGGTCCCGCCATTTTCGAGAAGGTGACCCCTTTTTCTTTCTCACTTTTTACTTTGTTCATGCATCATTCTTTTCAATATCATAAAGGTCGAATACTTAGTATAATTGTATATGTATCCTAAACACTGGATACAAACATAAATTCTTTTTACTTCCTCTGTCCAATAAAATGAGTCGAAGCATTTCCCACATTATTGTTCATAAATTAAGTTGCAGCTTTTTCTGGAGCATAAAATAATATCCCACTCCGCGCGGGTCGACCCGGTTCATAATTTTCGGGCTTTTAAGGCCCGGCCCGTTTCCGTGGGCCCCACCCGTCTCATCCTTCCTTCCCCTTCATTCTTAAAGGGGGGTGAGACATTCTGGCAAATTTTTCTCTATCACAGAAAAGAGAGCGGTTATCCACAAAAGCTCCCCCCCACTTCCATGCCAGCAGCCGGCGAAGGGAACCCAGAAGACTGAGAAGACGCCACCGGCGTCCATGGCCTCCACCGCCGCCGCCTCCTTCCTCCACCCCACCAGCTTCCCCAAAACCCCCGCCGGCGGCCGGCGGAGGATCCGCGCTCCGCGGCGGTGCTCCGCGGCTGCGCAGCCGCAGCAGGCGGAGGAGGCCCAGGCGAGCCCGCCGGCTCCGCCGCCGCAGGCGCAGGAGAGCGTGCCGCCGTCGGCTGCGAGGGCGGCGGCGCCGCTGTCGCCGCAGCCGGCGGCACGGAGTAAGAACATGAGCCGGGAGTACGGCGGCCAGTGGCTGAGCAGCGTCACCCGCCATGTGAGGATCTACGCCGCCTACATCGACCCGGTGACCCACGCCTTCGACCAGACGCAGATGGACAAGCTGACCCTCATCCTCGACCCCACCAACGAGTTCATCTGGACCAAGGAGTCCTGCCAGAAGGTCTACGACTACTTCCAGGAGCTCGTCGACCACTACGAGGTCAACTCCTTCTCCCATGCCTGAATTGTGCGTTACAGATCTGGTCAAACGGTGGATTGGAGAGGGGGTGGTGGAATTGATCTTTGCGGCGCCGTCGACTTGGGCAGGGAGCGGACCTCACAGAGTACACCCTCCGGCTGATCGGCTCTGATCTCGAGCACTTCATCCGCAAGCTGCTCTACGATGGAGAGATCAACTACAATATGAACGCCAGGGTCCTGAACTTCAGCATGGGCAAGCCCCGGGTCATCTTCAACGGCGGCGGCGCCGCCACCCAGCCTGAGGGCCTCCCGTGAGCCAGCCGGCCCTTCTTCAAGGAGACCGCACCACACTCGAACACCTCTCTGAGAAACCCAGAGAGAGAAACCTAGAGAGAGAAAGAGAGAGTTGTTGAGTCTTGATCGAGTTCATTCGACCAAAATTCGAATGCAGTGTTCACCAAACCGAAAAAAATGTCAGCTTTGTTCATACATTTTTTTGAGAAGATCTGCACTGCCGAGTAGTAGATTAATGACTTCGAAAAATACCGAAAATAATCATACTTGACAAGAATATTCCACCCCGATGATCTTTTTCAGCCGTCGGAGTCATGGGTCAGTTCCCAAGCCGATGAGAGAGAGAGAGAGAGGGAGAGAGAGAGGGAGAGAGAGAGAAAGGGAATATTTTTCATGGGAGGAGGAAAATACGAGTTTTTTTCGACGTATTTTTTTTTCTACGGTTGGGAACTTCGGCGCTGCCTTCTCCACAAGTGGAGGTGTTATCGTCGCCTGGGAGTCTCATAAACGAAGCTCTCTCTGTCCGATAGCGGGGGGAAACCAGCGGCCCTCGTCGGGCTTGACTCATCCGGGGCCACCACGGCGGCTGTGGACCGTACATGACGGTTGCCACGTGGCTGATAATCTCCCACGTGGAGGTACGGGAGTGGCTGGCGCGTCCTGGCCTCAAAAGGCACATCCTCTCCGGGGGGGGGATAAGGGGGTTATAAATGGCGATGGGGGAGAAAAGAGCGGGGTGCGCCGGCCACAGAGAGAGAGAGAGGTTCCTTCCTCCCTCGAGCAGCAGCAGCAGAAGCAGCAGAGGCTCGCGAGCTCCGAGCTCAGGGAGATGGCGTCGGCTTCCCTTCTCAAGTCCTCCCCCGTCCTGGACAAGTCCGACTGGGTCAAGGGCCAGTCCCTTCGCCACCCTCTCGCCGCCTCCGTCTCCGTCCGCTCCCACGCCGCCGCGCCCCTCTCTGTCCGCGCTGCCACCTCCTACGCCGACGAGCTCGTCAAGACCGCGGTACTGAAACCCTCCACCTCTCTCTCTCTCTCTCTCTATATATATATATATAGATATATATATATATATATATAACTGTCTATCTATGTCACCGGCGATGTGGGTACTGAGAGTGTGTGTGATGGGATGGTGACGGTAGAAAACGGTGGCGTCGCCGGGGAGGGGGATTCTGGCGATGGACGAGTCCAACGCGACCTGCGGGAAGAGGCTGGCCTCAATCGGGCTGGAGAACACGGAGGCCAACCGCCAGGCCTACCGGACCCTCCTGGTCTCCGCCCCCGGCCTCGGCAACTACGTCTCCGGCGCCATCCTCTTCGAGGAGACCCTCTACCAGAGCACCACCGAGGGAGAGAAGATGGTCGACGTCCTCGTCAAGCAGAACATCGTCCCCGGCATCAAGGTCGACAAGGTGAGTCCTCCTCCTCCTCCTCCTCCTCCTCCTCCTCCTCCGCAGTGACCTTCTTCTCAGCTTCCTCTGATCACCATCTGCTTGTTATATATCTCCTCCTCGGCAGGGTCTTGTCCCTCTCACCGGCTCCAACGATGAGTCCTGGTGCCAGGGCCTCGACGGCCTCGCCTCCCGATCCGCCGCCTACTACCAGCAGGGCGCTCGCTTCGCCAAATGGTGCATGCCCTCGAACAAACACATCTCCCTCTCTCTCTCTCTCTCTCTATCTCACTCTCGCTCTCTCTTGGTGTGCTGACGCTGGCTTTGTTTTGTGGTGATGGGTTGGACAGGCGCACTGTGGTGAGCATCCCTAACGGGCCGTCGGCGCTGGCGGTGAAGGAGGCCGCGTGGGGGCTCGCTCGCTACGCTTCCATCTCGCAGGACAACGGGCTGGTGCCGATCGTGGAGCCGGAGATCCTGCTCGACGGCGAGCACGGCATCGACAGGACCTTCGAGGTCGCCCAGCAGGTCTGGGCCGAGGTCTTCTTCTACCTCGCCCAGAACAACGTGCTCTTCGAGGGCATCCTCCTCAAGCCCAGCATGGTCACCCCCGGTGCTGAGTGCAAGGAACGCGCCACCCCCGAGAAGGTCGCCGAGTACACCCTCAACCTCCTCCGCCGCCGCATTCCCCCCGCCGTCCCCGGGATCATGGTAAACACAAACTCCTCTCATCTTCTCCTCCGGCGCCGGCAACTGTAGCTTTCTCGCTAATTCACTCACCCGCGGCGGCGGCGTGGTGTTTCTCGCAGTTCCTCTCCGGCGGGCAGTCAGAGGTGGAGGCGACCCTGAACCTGAACGCCATGAACCAGAGCGCCAACCCGTGGCACGTCTCCTTCTCCTACGCGAGGGCCCTGCAGAACACCTGCCTCAAGACCTGGGGCGGCCGACCGGAGAACGTGAAGGCGGCGCAGGACGCGCTGCTGCTCCGCGCCAGGGCCAACTCCCTCGCCCAGCTCGGCAAGTACACCGGCGAGGGCGAGTCCGAGGAGTCCAAGGAGGGCATGTACGTCAAGAACTACAGCTACTAGAAAATCCTCTTCCTCTTCTTCCCCTATCTTCTTCCTCTCTGTGTGTGCCCCCTCGGCCATCACTCGTCCGAGTCGTCCGCCGAGTCGTCCCCCGTACCCGCCTCCGGTCGCCCCCCGCTTGTCGGACACGTGTCCGCATCTAAGACTTTTTTGTCGGTGGCTCTTATTTTCTCTTACATAAAATCAATAAGTATTCTTGTATTCGGGGTTGTGCCGGGCTAGGACAGTGGGTCCCACGCGAGAGGTGCGGGTCATCTAGATCGTCCGATCTCGACTCTGGGGAGTGGAACCATCTGACGATCCTGATGGAGCCACGCAGCAGCACGCCCTTGAGGTGGGCCCAGCTTGGCGGCTTCCAGTCCGTCCGCATGAGTTCCCCTCACGGCAATGGGAGTGCCGTGCGCTGCGTAGATGGAACTCTTAAACTATACCGGAAACATTAAAAAATTAATCGCCTGGTCTTCATAACGTGTTATTGTTGACAAATGAGGGGTATATATGAACATATTTACGTAATAAAGGACTTTTATAGAAAAGCGATAGGAGGGGACAGCGAAGCTGACGCGGCCGCTCTCTTACAGATGACCGGTTCCCCTTCGTCTATATAAATCCATCTCCCTCACTGGACGTCTCTCTCTCTCTCTTCTCTCTCTCTCTCTCAATGCAGCAGCAGCTCTAACCGCGGGAAAAGCTGGGGACAGAACGTTCGTTCTTCTTTCTCCTACTTACTGGTCGTCGCCATTTCCATTGGATTTCGATCTCTCTTGACTCCGGGAGGTTCCTATTCTTTTCGATCGGATTCAATCTCCTTCTTCATCGGATGGCCGCGGCGGCGACGGCGAGTCGGAGGGCCCTGCTGCTGTCCGGGTACGGTTCCAGGGCGTCGGTCGCGCGGGCCTCAGATCTTGATGCCCTGCTGTGCTCTTCTACCTCCTCTTCATTGCGCGGAACGGGCTCCTATCAAGGTCGAGCCGGCCACCTTCGCGGCGTCTCCCAGCTGCTTTCCAGGGCGAATGTGAAGCGAGCGTTCCTCGTCGACACCTTGGCCCTGGTGAGTGTGGCATACCTGCGTCTTTTTGTCGGCGTTTTCTGTTCTGCTCTTGTCGTACGATATTTTGTGCTGACGCGAGCCTGAAGACTCGAATCGATGCAAATTCGACTTCTTGAGGGTGAGATTTTTGGGGAAAACGCAGGTCAGGAAGTTAGAGGCGCAAGGGATCCCCTCCAAGCAAGCGGAGGCCATTACCTCGGCCATCACTGAGGTCCTTAACGACAGTTTGGAGAATGTGACGCAGTCGTTTGTCTCCCAGGGAGAGATCCAGAAGGTTAGCGCTTCCCGTATTTTCCTTCAGCCTCTCAGGACTCTTCTTTTCACGTTATTCGATGGTCTGTTCAGTAAAGACTGGCGGCGAAGACGCGTCAGACAGTATTCTCTCAACGGAAAATGACCGTGGTGTTAGGGCTAAAATACTTCCGTCCATCTACGTGCCCATGTCTTTTAGCAGAAACACAATGTCCGCTTCAGTAATGTTTGAAATTTAATATAATTCAATGAAGAAAATTTCAATCTTCAATTTGGAATCCTAGGCCTAATGTGCCAACTCCAGCATCCGTGTGCACGACCTCATCCTAGAGGAATACATTTGTTGTTTGATGCATGGCCTATTTCAGCGTATAGGATATGGTTTCATGAGAATATATTTTGTACTGATGGCGGTATGATGTGTATATCGTGTGACACCCGTTGGGGAGAGAGGGATTTTGAACTACTGGTTTTTGAATGGATTCACCTGTTCTGTTTTAATCAAGTTTTCTTATGAAAAATAATCGAAACTTTTGTTGCCATTTCTCTGCTTAGAAAGTTAATTTTAATTCAATGGGAAAATAAAGTTTGATATGGATCTCTGTAGGCTCGTTCTGAGTCATTGAAAAGTGTCAACTCATCTCAAGATGACTATTCTCCTAAAAGTGGCCTTCATAAGATGTAACCACTCGGGGATTCAAAATTCTGTTAGTGAGGAATTTAAGTGCCATTTAAAGTTCTTAGTGTCATCTTAGCGGTCATTCGTGAAGGAAAAATATCTTCACATCACCCAGAGCTCCCTTTTTTTGACGAGAGATGTCTTCATCGGTCTGTCATTGGTGAATCCGCCATTTAATAATTATATATATATATATTTATTTATTTACGTGAACTGTTTACGATTAAACTGAAGTTTTTTAAAGTAAACAGAATAGTAAGCTTTCTTTCTCTCAGTTGTTGATTTGTGATTTCAGAAGTTTTTCCTCGGGTGGCATCGATTCCTGTTTGTCTTATTAACTTTATTTCCAAGAAATGCACTCCTTTTTCTACAAGTCATCTGAATTAATAACCGATTCGCTTTTAAAAACATCTGAAAGCTTCTCTAAGTACTCATGTTTAGACTTAGGTTGTATCTTCTGACGAATAAACATTGTATCTGGTTAAGGGATTTGCTATTAATGATCCTCTGTGTATGATGAAGGACATTATCATCACCTTCATCATGGCCTTTTTTTAATGGTAGATGGTGGATCCCTCACTCCTGCACCGTTCCATTCCTGCTTCTTCTATTTTATTGAGGGGATGATATTTGCTTTAAAAAACTACATGGTTGCATAAGACTAAAGACGACTTTTGGGCGTTTTCAAAGAATAGTCATAGTCACAGTGCATATTGTACCTGAAGGTGGAAGACGTTTTATTTATGATGAGTTGTCATACGCTGGGAGTTGATCCAGACGTGTGTAATATCTGAATATTTTTTTAAATCAGGTTTTTGAACTTTGGATTCCTCTCAGCAGCGTGCATCTATTTTTTTCTCTTTTAATTCTCCATTTGATCTCGTCTTCCATCTTCTGGTTTCATCTTCTATGGGAAATGTGGTGGGCTTCTTCATCTTGTTCCTCTCTTTGGCAGTTTTTTCAAGGAGCCCTTCCACCTTGGAGGTGGCTCAGGAGTTCCTTTTTATCTTGAGAGGGATTCTTCATGAGGCTCAACTCTAGTTTTACTCTAGACTCGTAGCGAGAAGACCATTTGAAACGTGATGAGAGGCAGTGTAGATCCCTTTTGAAGAAAATGGAATGCCAGAGCCTAGGATTGTTGGGGCATGATGGACAGATATTTTGGTTGCTTTTGGATGGAACCAAATCTGTGGTAATTACAGAAAAAAGACATGGGATCAACATGAAACGCTAAGTTTCACTTGTGCAGAAGATTGAATTTATATCATCACTAGGCTGGACCTTTACACTGGCCAGTTTAACTGAAGACTTCAAAAATATTCCCCAAGGCTACTTCTGTCTAACTTTGTATCTGAATGTGTGGAACATCTGACCTCAATGCCTGATCCTTCGTGGATAAAACATTTATTCCGAATGGTAATCGATTATCATGAAAATGCTTCATTCGAGCCCGAGATTCATAGAAAAATACTTCGACTGAATGATTAAATTATTCTACATAATTTTGCATTTGATTTACTCAATCATCTAATTTCCATCGTTTTCCATAACGCATTAGAATTGATGCCTTTGTTCATTTTAGTTTTTCCGCTGGGTGACCATACCTTCTTTCGTGTCATAAACTGTGCTCTTTGTGAATATGAGTCATGCAAATAGTACTGCAGGTGAGGGTTTTCTGTGCCAAAATCGACTGTCAGCAAAGACATGTGGCATTAAAGGCGTTTCCAATTACCGGATCTTGAGCCACCTTATAATGTAGGCTAGCATATCCAGAAAGTTTCGTCATACTGATGCAGAGCTCTTCCACTGATGGGTCTCTCGATCAGACAAATAGAATAGAATGTGAATTATGTACCGATGAGCGTTGTGTGACATTTGAGTGCATCTTGAAAATTTGAGATGATCTGGACCATCCGTCTCTCCATATCAGAGCCTCCATTCCCTCGCCAAACCTGAAGTGGATGTGTGTTGGATGCAGGAACACCACTTCTCTACATTGCAACGTGAGACTGAGAAACTCAAAAATGATATTGAGAAGATGCAAACCGAACTGAAGTATGCCTCGTGATTTCACTACGAGAATCTGGTCCTTATCTCATCCAATACACAGACTTATGGAGAGAAATATTTTTTGGCCTAGGTACGAGATCGGCAAGGTCACTGCTGGGCTGCGTTTGGATTTAAACCTTGGCAAAGAGGGTACGCTGGGCTGCGTTTGGATTTAAACCTTGAAAGAGGGTACGTGAATCAGAGATCTCTCTGCGTATGTATTATATATTGCATGCAAGTTCCTTAATTTCCGCGCTTAATCCTGATTATTTACCGTCGTCTCCTGGTTTCTTGTCAGGGATTAACTCTGGAGCAGCCGCTTATGTTCTTATTATTTCTAATACATAATTCTTTTCCTACTAATTGCAGGCGTATACGTGATGAGTTGGCGAACCAGAATACTGAAACGAGTGAACTTACCAATAAGCTTGATCGGGTGAGATTCATTTCCTATAACCGTGAACAAGAATGGATTTTCTTTTATGGGTAGATAATAATCTTTCTCGAGTTATTCTGAATGGAATTTCCAGGAGATTCATGCTCTGAAGGCCCAGCTCGAGGCAGCCAAGTACGACGTGATAAAGTACTGCATTGGAACCCTTGTTTCCATCACTGCTGCAGGCCTTGCGGTGATCCGTATCATACTGTAGAAGGAAAAAGTTTGCAGCTTGAAGAAAACCCATTTTGTTCATCTCCCCGAGATGCGTGACGCTGATGCTCGTCATGAATATCTTACCAATTGTTTTTTTCATGTTCTGTGAATCGAAAGGATCGTTCCCTTCTGATCAATCTGATTGCCCATTTTCTCGCGTAGTAGCATGGTGATTTGGGTCTTTCATGAATTCTCTGTGTTAGTTATAGCGTCAGTTGCAGGAGGGAAGGGCGCCACCAAGCCACCATTCAGGTAGATCTCCTCTTCTTCATCTTCTTCAGCTTCTTCATCTTCTTCATCTTCTTCCGTCTTTCCCTGGAGCTACTGACTCTGACGAGGCCTCTCCCTGTTTCCTTCTCCGTCTTCGCCGGCTCGAAAACCTCCTTCTTCGAGGAGTCCAACAGCTCCCTGGAGCATCCGAGGAGGACGCCCCTCGCCGCCGCGTCGTCACAGAGCCGCCGCACTGAGTCGAACCTCCCGCTCCTGCAGAGCTTGGCGATCAGCAGGTCATAGACCGGCCCGCAATCCTGGGGCGCGCAGAGGCCGCGCATATGGTCGAACACCTCGAGGGCAATATCCAGGCTCTCCACCCCGCAGAGCAGCCCGACGAGGCGGCGGAAGAAGCGCGGCTCGGGAGCCACTCCATCTTCCAGCATCTGCCTGATGACTCTGTTCCCCCTGATGAACCTCCCCGTCAGGTACAGCACCCTGGCCACGAGGTAGTAGCTGATCCAGTCCGCCGGGGGCCGCTTGCCCTCGGCCCGCCTCATCGACTGGAGGACGCTGTAGGCCTCCTTCACCCTCCTCGCCCTCGCCAGGCAAGACAGCAGGATGTTGCCGCTCACGGCGGCGGGGGCCTCGCCGGCGGCCCTCATCTCCGCCATCACGCTGAAGGCCTCCGGCACCAGCGCCGAGGGGTTGAACTTGAGGTTCCGCTCGCAGAGGCATCGGAGGAGCGCGTCGTAGGCAGCGCGGCCGGGGCGCGCGCCCGCGGACTTCATTTCCTCGAGCACCTTCCGCGCCTCCCTCGCGTTCCTCCCCACGCACCACCCGTGTAGGAGGCTCCGGCTGGCGGCGGCCATCTCCGCCGCCCCGAGCTCACCGCGGTAGCGTCCGACGAGTCCCGCCGCCCTCTCGGCGTGCCCGCGGCCGCATAGCGCATGCACCACGGCGAGGATCCTCTCCGAGGTAATCGGTCTTCTTCCTCCTGCTGCGGCTCCTTGCATTTTGAGCAGGCGGAGGCAGTCGTCTGGGCGGCCGAGCTTGACCAGGAACTCGGCGGCGAAGGCGAAGGTGTCGGCTTCCATGTGGCGGTGGTCCCTCTGGAGGTCGGAGATGAGGATGCCCATGGCGGGAGCGTCGCCCCTGGCCGCGAAGGTGCGGATGGCTCGGGTGAAGGGGTCCCCCCAGAGGGCGTCCTGGGTCCGCCGGCGGGACCAGGCGAAGAAACGGAGGAGCCTCCGGGTGTCGCCGGCGCCGGCGTCACAGGAATCGAAGACCTGGCTGACCAGGGAGGGGGAGACCTGGATGTCCAGCTGATCGAGGGCCGATTCCATCTCGTCTAGGCCCCCAACGCCGTCGACCACGACCTCGCGGAGCAGCTGCAGCGGCTGGTGGTGCTGCCGCCGCTCGTCCTCCTCCTCCCCGCGGTGCCTGGAGAAGCGCCGAAGGGAGGAGGGGTTCCGACGGGAAGGCCGCATGCAGAGGAGACGGCGAGCCACCGCCTCCATGGTTGCCGCGCCCGCCGTTGTCCCTCCTCGGACAGAAGAAGAGCGGGGGATCTCTCCCGGTGAGATGACTGATATGCCATTCCCAGCTCTCTCTCTCTCTCTCTCTCTCTCTCTCTCGCGTCGCGCTGTTGTGAGAGGGGAACAAGAAGATGGGGGCTCTCTTCCTCCGAGATTGGTGAGAGTGGGCTGATTCTGGTCAGCAATAATTAGGGTTCTTTTCCACTCAGTAGGCTGCCTAATTTAGTGGTGGTTCGATCTCAGGGTTCTTGAAGGATCTTACCCGATCTGAGCTATCAACCTTTGTCGGCCACATTGATCGCCGATTCGTCCACATTATTCCTCCTGAACGATGCAACCCCATCTGGGTCCTGGGCTTCTTCCAAGACCTGCAGAATGAGCCACCCGCCAGATCTATTGGGCAAGCCTACTAGTGCTCCGTGAAGGCAAGAGGGAAGAACTCGACGGGGGACAAATTGGTCGGCATCATTTAACGGCGCCGTCGTCATCACCGTAGGCTGACTTGGACTCGGTCCAAATGTCAACGTCTTCTCCCGACTATGAGGAAAACGATAGTTGCTATTTTATATCCAAGGTCAAAGTATTTTTTGTATTGTTCCTGGAGAAGGGGAGAAGGGGGGGTCGCTTCGTGTTCTTCGGACAGCCAACAATGGCGGCGAATAATGCTGTTGGATCGGGTCAAGATTCTCGGAACTGCAGTCTTTAATGAATGGAGGAAAAAAATTGTCTAGGGTTCTGGTTGAGATCGTCTCTGCGATGCAGGATTAGGGTTTTCGTCATCATCGCCTCCCCCACGGACGGCCGCCGGAGGGAGGAGGGGTTGTCGCCCCGCCGCCTACAGGTCCTTGGGGAGGAGCTTGCGGACCTGCTCGAGGGTGACGAAGAGGACGATGGTGAAGGGCCCCTGGCGGGACACGGTAGGGATGAAGCCCTTGTACAGCGCCATGGGCCCCTCCGCCCTCACCGTCTTCAGCGCGCAGTCAATCGCTCCGGCGTACGGCGGCGCCGCCCCGGGCTCCACTTTCATGTTCATGACGCGAGTCTTGATCACGTCCACCGGGTTGGAAGCCAGCGCCGCCACGAAGCCCGCCGCGAAGCTGGCGGTGACGTGGGTCCCCAGGCCGTCGGCCATGGCGCCGCTCTCCAGGATCGCCTCCTTCGCCTGGTCATAGGTCGCCAGCTGCGACGCCGTCACGATCATCGCCCTGTTGATCGTCAGAGAGGAGCCCCTCCACAGGCTGCCCACCCCTTCGCTGCGCACCATGCGGGCGATGGCGTCGCCCACGCCGCGGTAGTTGCGGCGCTCCGCCGCCGGGAGCCGCCCGTCGGCCTGCATCCGTACCATTGCGACGTCGGCGGGGTTGCCCACGGCGGCGCCGACGCCACCAGCGACCAGCCCGGCGGCGATCTTCTTGTGGAGAGCGAGGTTCCCGCCGTCCGGAGAGGACCACTTAGTCTTGAGGATGTCGTAGAGGCCCATCCGGGTTGTAGAGTAGAGAGTTTGCCGGAGCATGGTGGCGGAGACGCCGGCGAAGAGCCCGGCGGGACCATCGGCCTTTAGAATCTGCATCCCCACGCCGACGGGGCTGAGACGGGGCAGCTGCGGCGGCGGGACGGGGTGGGGGTGGAAGCCCGCGACGGCAGCGGCGCCGGGGGCCTGGAAGGCCAGAGCCGGGCGGAGCGCGGCGGCGGTATTCGGGACGGCGGCCGTCGCGGCCTCTCCCTGGAGCTGCATTCGGACCTTGATGAGGTCGAGCGGGTGGGTGGAGCAGCCGGCCACGATTGAGGCGATGCCACCCTCGACGAATCCCTTCAAACCCATTTCTCCAACTTTGGCGGAAGAGACGGCGGCGGATACGAAGAAACCGGAGAGAGAGAGAGAGAGGGTCTCCGACGGTGGCGTCTCTCCGGCGACGACGGCGGTGGTGGTGGTTGTAGAGAGAGAGGCGATGGCCACTTATAGGCGGGGGAGGAGGGCCCACGCGGGAAGACGAGGGAGGAGAGAGGAAGCCAGCGGAGGGGGGGCGGCAGCGGCGGGGGTTCTCCTCGTGGCCATCCAGGGGAGGTAAGATGCTCCGCGCTCCTTCCCGTTTACTCCTTCCTTCTCCACAGTCGGCACATATCGCCGGCGCAGCCAATCGCTGACCTATTGACTTCGACAGTTTGTGGGCCCCACGCGCAAACCCCCAACCATCTGACGGACACTGCGCACCGATCCAAGTCCACAGACGAAGCCCGCTCCATCGTACCGGTGAAGACGATTCAACGCTGTTCGAGCGCCTTCACACCGTTGGAAGGATACCACCGGTCAAAGTCTACGAGGAGGCCTCCAGAGGACACACGAAGAGGCCGAGTCCGAGATAGTGCGGGCTCAGTCAACTTTAGAGACAAAAAAGTCCAAGAAATGGGCTCCGACCTTACGCTCTCCTCACAGAGCTGAGGCCCAGTCCTCCCAGAAAACAGTAAGAGAGAAGAGAGAGAGTGAGAGAGATGGACGACGGTCAGCTAGTGAGAGACAGTGACCAAGCAAGTCCCGACCTCTCTCCTTGACCAGAAGGTGCTCTCCGAGATCCCGGCTTTCTGACAGGACGATTAAAAGATTACCATTTTTAGACGCGGGAGAACAGGTTGAAGATCCTTGACGGCGGCGCCAAGATCACGGGAGGATCATCGCCAAGATGGGGGGAGGAAAAAAAATGCGGCTCCTTTTTTTGGGGAGTTATCTGCTTGCTTGCCGATGTCGCCAAGAAAAATCGTTGACGGCGCGAAGACGAAACAATAAAAGGAAACAAAGCTCAAAACTCACACACAAGTCGTGCCTGCCAAAGCACGTCCCGTTCTCCTCCCCGGAGCTCCTCCTCCAGCACACATACATACACACCCTGAAGAGAGTCCCTCCTCTCTCTCTCTCTCTCTCTCTCTCTCTCTCTCTCTAGAAGCCCTCGGCGATCTTGCTGGCGAGAATGCGCTCTCGCTTCTCGATGAACGCATAAGGGAACCACCCCGCCTTCCCTCTGGACTCGCCTTCCGCCCATCCATTATTTGACACCTGCGAGCACAGAAACGACCATCATCATCATTAGAGAACTCTCTCTCTCTCTCTCTCTCTCTCTCTCTCTCTTTCCAATGCACGCAGTGTGTAGAACATGGCGTGGTACAGACGAGGGTTACCTTCCTCACGACGACGAAATCACCGACGGAGAGGCTGAGCTCAACGTCGGACTCTGCCCGGTACGACTGCATTACCTGCATCAGCGGATGAGGGCCATCAATCCTCACAATCACAGGCTCATCTTTCTAGCAATTCTGAGCAAGATCAGCTGCAAGAGGAGATTTTTCCATGCGATGAATCCTGGGTACTACCTCCCCTAAAAAGTAGTCGCCGAATTCGGTGGAGCTCTCGAAGGATTGAGGGGGAAACATTCCATTGGGCTCCTCATAGTGAGCGGGCGGAGGCGGTGGTGGCGGCGGCTGGCTGTCGGCAGCCGGGCTTGGAGCGGCTTCGATCCGCTGGCGCTCCGACACCATCTAAACAATCCCACAGCGCGGAAAAGGAAAAGAGAGCGAGGGGTTGAATGAAGAAGGAAAGAAAAATCAGAGGTGCCCATCAGTTTGGGATCGGTCATTCACCTCCCCCTCGAGCTGATCAAGAATTTGTAGCACTCTCTGGTGGTATGCACGCTCTGATTCAACCTTCACCCATCAAAGATATTAATGAGAAGAAGAAGCAGAAGAAGAAGAAGTCATCGCTTATATACCATGGCAATGAGCCGTTGTAGGGTTAGCCTCTGCTGTTGTGCCTCCACTGCGGCCATGGCTGCCGTGGCTTCTTTTCCCAAGTTGGCTACGCTCGACTTGAGCTCCTGCAGCTTGGAGTCAGCAGCTTCCAGTCTTGAAATGAGGTCAACGTTTCCGGGGGATTCCCTAGTTTTCATCTGCCGCTTGAACACCTCGATAGACTGCATGAGGATTGAAGCCCCAAGATAATGATATAATCAGAGTACAAGGCCATTGCAGATAATCTCTGATGAAAAAAACATCCAAACAAATCATAAGCATAGAAATTGTGCTCCTATTTTAATTTTAAAAATAAAATAAAATTCTCAAAGACCGTGGGAAATATGCCGGTAGCAAGCAATCATCGCATAAAAGGGCCAAGAGTATGAGCAATTTTCAGCTCTAAAAGGGGAATCTAGGTCTAGCTAAATCGGGTGAAATTTAATAATTTCTTCATAAAATAAGTAGTTAAAATGTGGCGTGGCATAAGCAAACCTGAGCTTCGGCTTCTTGTCGCATTCTATCGTACCGCTGTGCAAGGTGACGCGCATCCTCCAGCGGAGCACCCATTACCATCGCTCTTAATGGCTCTGCGACCTGAAAATTGTGGCATTAACCCGATTAATGGAGCAACACACTAAAAAAAGGAAGGAAATGGAAGCAATGAGAAATATCATGAGCGATGGTCGATGACATTAGACCTAATCGAAGATCAAAAATAAGAAAATGGATACAAAAATAAAAAACCAAAATGGGTGAGTTTGAGCTGCTCGAGGGATCTGATTGCCCTGAAGGAGGCCAGGAGTATTCACTGATAGCAGTTGTATCAAATTATCAAAGCCAACATTTGGCCATGACTGAGATGCATCCACGAACCCTCAGTAACTTCTCAATATTTATACAAAACCACTTGAACGTTGGCCGAATCACCAAAGAAAATGATATAATATATGCTTGGACAGCATACTCATCTAAGCAATCATGTGCCAGTCAACCATTCTTGGAACAAGATGCAACACGTAGATAAGGTAGGGAGCTACTAGAATGCACAATGAGTACGTAGATATCTGCCAAATGTCTGCTAAAAGGGTGGCATTCTACCAAAAATATATTCTTAGCGATCTGTAGATCCTGCACAGAGAAAATGAGATTTCATCATCACCAGGATTAAGTATGAAGCTTTTGCATGAAGCATCATTAACTATGGGTATCTCCTGATGTATTTCAGAAGGTATACATGTCGCTGTTTTTCAAGATTCCCACCCTTATATTCATAATGGGTAAACTTTTGCTCCTCTCTCGTTTTATTTCAACTCTTTTTTATGCTCCTCTTTCCCATTCAACTTCTGTATACATTCCTCTACCTTATCTTTTCTCATTTAACCTTTTCATCGGGAAACAGGCAGTTACAATAATACTAATCCAAATCACAATCAGAATCAAAATTAGTGTCAGCCCTACTCACTTGTTGAGAACAATGCTGAAATATTTATCAATTACGATAAGTATTGGCAGATATGAAAGTACCCAGAATTAGTGCTAGAACTATGTTATATTGTCTAGTATGGACCGGGTCAGCCCATATAGTAGTTACACGATTAGGGTCGTGCGTTATTGTCTAATAAAGTTTTGCCTAGTGACTCTGATATGGTGGAGTAGGCAAAATTCAAGGAAAGGAGATGAATCAGAACCACCGATTTCATTTATTTTTTTTCACACAATAGATACCACGAGAGATACGAAACTTTTTTAACCTTGACATCAAATCTTCAGGAAAGATATATTGAAGCATGTTTGGTTAAAAAATTACTATGATTCTATCAAAATGTTTAAGAGATTATCAAAGATCATCTTTAAGGTCAGAGTTTGAATCTCAAGATGGTTGATCAAAAGTTTAAACTCAACACATTTTATTACTGTTGAATCGAATATCACAGAAACACAACAAACAAACAAGATCGAAGCAGAAAATCAAATCGAGAGAGAGAGAGAGAGAGAGAGGAAGTTTTCTTTTGATTAATCGCTCTAGGGTTACATCTCGAGTCGATATATATACAACCCCCCCTCTCCCAACCCCAAACAGGGCCTTTTGACGAATACCTTCGTCAAACCCAACTCACATCTATGAACCAAAACCAAAAATAACCATTTGTTAAAAGCAGAGGGTGCCAGAATCATATAAGTCAGATGGCTATTATGAATAGCAGGAGTATTTTAGATACTTATCTAGCTGCCATCAGACTATTCACAACCACAGAATAAAGGACATAATTGAGTGGATACGACGCTTGATCTTCAAAAAGCATAAGATAGTTGGAATGCGAAAGGGACTCCTATAACATAAGATTATTCAAGGAACCAAAAACCAGCTTCAATGTAAGAGAGGGGAAGGCGCGCCCAAGCCTCCTTCCTGACGAGCAATCTTCAATGAATCCTAACAACAGATTAGATCAGCGGATGGGGATCATTCCCCTAAAAGAAACTCGTAGAAAACTCCTGTACGTTATGATACCTCTGCAACATAATCCTTTTACTTGATATTTTCACCAAAATCAACCAATTTCCTTCAGGTCGGTTCCAACCGATTGAATCAGATGCAACCAAGGGTTCGTCACGGTTGATCCAGGATCCAGTCCAAATTCAGCGGTCTCATTAGCACATCCTAAATCAATGGATTAAAAGTGGTACCGCAACTGATCTGTAAACAGTAAGATAAAAGATCTATGGACATGATTCTGTTACTTTGTTCATAACTTTTCACTGTGTACTAAGGTTACGAATTCAAGCTCGTACACTAAAGTTCCAGTATAGTCAATGATGATGGCATTTAAATAACTGGGAGGTCATGGAATTGACAACACAAAAAGGCCTTGCATGCAAAATGTGGCCTGTATACAATAACAAAATGATGACTGGCTGACAACAAAGACCAACGCTGCTGAGTGAACAAATAGGTTGAACATAAAGTGTCCTACTCTACCATTTCTTAAGCTCAGAATAAAAACCATGAAGAGACGATACAATATAGTGCTAAAAAATCTGATGTAAGCAAAACAACTCTCAGATTATTTTTCCAAATTAGTGCAAAATAATGATTGAAGAGATGAAAAAGATGAAAAGAGGGGGTAGGAAGGAAAACAATAGCCGAAGATATAAATAGACGAAAAAAAGAAGAACAATGTCACACAATAGAATCAGAAGAGAAATGGAGAAGCCAGTACACTTCGTTAGAAAGGTTATGTACTACAAATCGACTAGTCGATTTCTCACATATAACACTTTATCAAGGCAAAAATTCTTTTTTTTCTAATCAGTGCAATCTTCCCTGAAATAAATAGGTACAACTCCAAAAACAAGAAAGTAGTTGATTTTTAACCAACCTGAGTGCCCAAAGCTTTAAGGAGATTCGCACGTTCCTTTTCTATTTGTGAGCGAGCTCCTCCAAACTTTAATGCAGCTTTTGATAAGGTACTGCCACTGGTACATGTGTTTTCAACACCATATTTCCTACTGTCTTCTGATAGCTTAGTACCTGAACGAAAGGTTATAAGTAAAAGTAGCAACAATATTAAAGAGGAAAAAGATTATTTTCACTGGCTTGCCTATCTCAGCTTGTTTGGAACCAGTTACAATATAGCCCTCAACTCCACGAACTATATCCCTTTGAAAATGCTGATTAAGAGAGAAAGCCATAAGTGAGGAAAGATACGAATGATAAAGGCAAAAGTTTCTTCAAAAAATAAAAAAACCGTGACACCATTGAACTAAGGAAACTTGACCTTGGCAGCTCGAGTTGATATGTAAAGTTTTTCGAGCTTTTGATGGTGGAAAAATTCAGCTTCATCAGTAATTATATTATCTGAACCTCCATAGCTCCCAGCTCCAAACTGCTTGAGGACAGCCTGAATTGAAAATTGAATGGAGAAAACGAAACAATCAAATTACACCCAAGACATCCCAGAAATAATCATATTACATGCTTAAACTATAAATGCCCAAAACAAGACAATAGGAAAACAAAGATTAATCACCAAAGAAAGGCAAGTCCAGCGTGACGTTAAAAGGTATGGGATAGGTCAAAGACAGATAATATTTATTCAACTAACTGAAAAGAAATCCTTCATCATCCAGATTTTAAACTTATAATTAGTAGTACTGGAATAATAAAAGTAATGCGACGCATCTATAAACGAAGGGCATATTATAGCTTTCATTCTGACTCATATTCAGTCCTGAAGCAACAAAATAGACTTACTCTCTCTAGAAATATTAGAAGCATTAAAAATTATTTTAAATCATGCTAGGAAATGAAATAATGCAAAAAAATGCAGACTAAGTTTTTACAAGGGAAACAATGCTCTACCATCAGGAGAAAAGGTCATTCTTCCATTTTCTACGACCACAAAGAAATGGTTTTAAGAAGAGTAAGCGTTATTTTTTTATATAACTAACCAGTCATCAAAGAGGTTTTATCTTATCACCTTAAGTTCTGCTACACACAACTCATGGTCGAAGAATTCAAAATGCGTTTTCACAAAAACAAACCATCAACAACACAGTAACAAAGTCTGATAGAGGATTCTCTTCTATGTTCAACAACTCTTTCCCCACCTCATTCTTCATACTAGCCCAAAATCCAATGAAGTGGATAAGTCGGGGTCCTCAATTGTGACTTAGACGTCCACTCAATCTTGACCAGGCAACTCACTTCAAAGTACCCAGAACCCCCATAAATCATTTGAAAGTTAGAAAAACAATCTCCTAAGAATAGTACAAGCGGATACAAACTGGGAAAAATTTCATAGGTCTCCCTGAACTTAACAAGCATCCAATGTGAAGAGGAAAAAACTAGATTTTAATACATAGACAAGTAATCCATTTCATGGCAACTGTCCGCTGTTGACTGTATTGAAATGAAGCCACCGAAAGGCCTTGTTTCTGCAAAATGCTTAGCTTAAATCAGATAGTCAACAATTCCGCGACCACTATCAAAGTATAAGATGGGTGTAACTCGTACAGGCATCTCAAGGTTCCAATAGAGCTACCAAAAACAGAATATTGAGAGTGGTATGCAGACTTTAGCATGTACCATTTCTACAAAAAAGGGTATCCCATAACAATTATAAACGCCAGTTCCCAGGAGACTTCCAAAAGATAAGGTAACAGTGCCTTGAACTGGTATCTCAAGAGCCAAGTGGTAACCAAAAAGAGAACCCTAAGAACGAGGTCAAATGTTCAGGGAGGAAAAAAAAGCAGAAAAGGCGACCTATTTTCCAAGCTCATTACCAACCCTTTTTCGTAGCTAAATTTCCCAATTGAGTCTTTTATACAGCATCCTAACTCTCCCTGTTGTGGGTGGAGAATTAATCAAAATCGAAGAGGAGGAGATGAAAAAGAATAAAATAAGACAACAAAGAAGATAAGTGAAAGAGAAAAAGCTGGTGGAAGAAGAAAAAGAGTGAAAGAGAGGAAGATAAGAAACGAATGACAGACGAAAGGAGAGGACCATTGTGGTCATTACATACAAAGAAATGGAACAGGTTAGAAGAGAGATAAAAGAAACACTCATTTCATAAAACTGACTTGTTCAAGTATGATTTCGTCCCTTTTCCTCAATAAAATAATATATGCACTTCAAAATTTTACGAAACTAATGTTATCTCCTTCAATTTCACCCAAAACAGCCACTCGTCCAATTAAATCTAAGGTGGGATCAAACCCTGACATCCACGGATCCCACCCAGTTCCCTGAGCCTTGATCATACTGTCTGGTTTCTTGTCGTCATTGTTATTATATGCATGCTTCTTCACTACATTAGGGAATTATTAGTACAATTTAAAACCTGATCCAAAAAACTGTGCAAGAATGAAGGTGTACTTTAGAACTCTAGATTTGTCAGCACTTGACTGAGTATACCAGTGAGGAAGGAGCCAGTTATCATGCATCATCCTTCCTTCTAAGGATGTCGTGAGAAGGAACGCAAGTAGAAACAGCATTGTAAAGCACAGCATTGACTAATACAACGCAAATATGTCAGACGAGAAAGAATGGAGACTGCCCAATTACGTATCCCGGTACCAATCAAAATGTTATAAGCACAAAAAGGAACCACCATTTTTTCTTAAAAGAGAAATAAAATAAGAAGTCAAAAGATAAAAAATATACACTGGAAATCAACAGGCCCAAAGGCTAGGGTACTCTCAAAGGCCATAACGGGAAAGTGGCAAGACGGAAAAACAGATGAAATCATTCGCATCATCATTCTCCATAGTATGCGGATTCCAGAAGTAGATGGCGCGCATTGCACACGAAAATTCGCAGCGAACGAACACGAAGATTACAAAACAAAGCCTTCAGGGTCCCCCCCCTCAAGCTCTCGGCCTAGATTCACGGTCTCGGAATCTAATCAAACAAAGGTTCGGGACAATGGAAAGCGACCAGATGTGACCACGAGGAAGAAGGGCTTTCCGCGGCTGGAAAAAGAGATACCTGCTGCTGCTTCGCGACCTGCTCCCTTAGCCTCGTGGCCTGCTTTCTTATGGCTTCCATTCACCGGCGCCTCGACGGGAAGAGGCAAGCAAGAAAGACGCAGTCAGATCGCGATGCAGAACGCCGTGCTGGGGGGCGGCCCGGTCGCAGATGGGGAGCAGGGGGAGGAAGCCGATGTGAGAAAACCATTAACTGGAGGAGAAACAAGAAGGCCGATGTGAAAATCTGACAGTAACGGGGGGAACCTCGTTGGGAAGAGGTCGGTGAGAATTCGGGTCCATCCGAACCCGTTACTTTATTCCATACCCGCCATAGCTGAGCCGACTATTGGGCTTTCATTTCTGCAGCCCAAGTATACCATTGGGCTCCCAATTATACGCCCAATTAAAAAAGTAAATGGCCGCTATTGATGACGTCATCCATGCGGAGTGTACAATCAACCTCTAAAAGAAACTAATTGCGTTTGTACTCTATATAAAATCACACGGACAATAAGCGTGCCTCGGATCTGAACTCCTCCGCCTGTGCCGTTACGGTTGAGCCCGACGGCCGCCGTCACTCACGACGCCGGCTACCGTCCTGTCCTGCCGGCGGCCGACCACCTCCCGCCCCCGCTCTTGGCCCTGGAACGACTGCCGCACGAGACAAGGCTCAGCTTTTTCAACCGTTGGGTCCAGGAGAGAGAGAGAGAGAGAGAGGAGGAAGTCGCCATCTCGGCGGCGGCCGCCGGAAAATCCAGAAGTTTGGATCACCTGCTTCACGCCGGCGTAGACCAGAAATGGTCGTGAGTCAACAGGTGTGAATTAACCGTTGAGGCCTCTCGAGCATTATTAAGTAGTGACGGGGGCATGTTTATAGGGTTTAATCAGTAATTATGTGTGAATTATGTAGAAGTGGGCCCAAATAAATTTTCTTATGTATATGGATATCATCATACCTAATTTTTTTTGGCAATGACGTCATTTAATTATTCTATTTAGTTAATAAAAATAAGTATTAAAAAATCTGTTCTCTTTCCCACAAACGGTGATGTCTGTGCGAGTTCCCCGTTTGTGGGAAAGAGAGAAGACGTTTTAATAACTCATATATTGAAATAAATGGAGCTTTAAATATTCTTATTTAATTATTTCTGAAGCCCATTATTTCGCTATATATTTTTCTTTCCATGTTGTGAGATTTGTGACAAATTCTTACAAGTAGAAAAATAGGGAAAATAATTAAATAAATAACAGAAAAATTACGTGAAAAAACGTCAGAATGATCACCTCAAAGTTGATATTAATATGATCTTAATACAATAATTCATTAATAACTAATATCTCTCGTCCAAGTGCCCCTCTAACATGTAGAGAGAGAGAGAGAGAGAGAGAGAGAGGGCGGTGACAGCCACGTGGGGGCCATCACCGAAAGGAGGCGACGCAGACGGGAAGTACACGCGTACCTCCACGATGGGTCGACCCCGCCGCCGGTCGTGTTTTTGCGGCGGATCTTATCTATCGCAAATGGCGGGGAAAAGAGATAGACTTTTACCGATCTGCATCTAATAAATAGAGGACCAATTCCCCAGCCTCTCTCTCTCTCTCTCTCTCTCCCTCTCTCTCTACGATTTATTTATGGACCCTCGTTGTACAAGGAATTATCAATTAGCCAATCTTCGTCCATATATTCGTTAGAAAGATAAGATAAGAATCACACACACTACCGAGGAGGAATTCTAGTGAGAGAGATGAGATATAAAAGCTTTTTAAAATAATACCGAGGGTATTTCCGAATTTCCCTTGCGTGGTGGTCCCCAGATTTCCTATTATTTCATGCGGAAGGTCCCCCCCCTCACAACGTGAGTCTCTCTTCTCCTGCCTCTGAATCGGCTACGATTTCGACCGCCGGAGCGCTCCGCTTCTCCGCCGCTAAAGATTTTGATCGGCGGAGAGAGAGAGAGAGAGAGGTGGGGGGGGGTCGCCGGAGCAGCGGGCTGCGGCGAGAGGTATGAAGATACTGTGCGACGTATGCAGGAAAGAGGAGGCGGCGATCTTCTGCTGCGCCGACGAGGCGGCGCTCTGCGGGGCCTGCGATGGTCGTGTGCACCTCGCCAACAAGCTCGCCGGCAAGCACTGCCGCCTGTCCCTCCTCCACCCGGCCTCCCCTGAGCAGTCCCCGCTCTGCGACGTCTGCCAAGTTGGCCCATCCCCTCCTCTCTTTTGATGTTCTTACTCATCTCCGATGCTCGCGGGAGAATGTTGATGGCGTTAGAGTCTTTCAGGAGAAGACGGCCTTCTTGTTCTGCCAAGAGGATAGGGCCGTCCTCTGCAGAGACTGTGATTCCTCCATCCACAGTGCCAACGATCTCACCAGGAAGCACACCCGCTTCCTCCTCACCGGCATCAAGCTCTCCGTCTCCGACGCCCCCGCCGGGCTGCTGCCCATCGCAGAAGTCAAAGATAAGAACAACAGCGTCTACGTGCCGGCGGTGGCGGAGGACAGCGGTGAGGATACAGGCTCCGCTGCCAGCGCCACCAGTGGAAGCAGGATCTCCGAGTACCTCATGAAAGAGCTCCCCGGGTGGCACGTGGAGGACCTCCTCCTCGATACGCCCTCCTCCGGCTATGGCCTCCCCAAGGTCCGATCTATCTGACCCCGGCTCTTTTTATCCTTCCAGTCGTCGGTTGAGGAAGAACGTCTAGGGTTACACCGAGTGGGATGATGCAGATGCTGGGCGATCATGATCTGATGTCTTTCCCGGTGGGGAACCTAAACGACGCCGCGGCGGCGGCGGCGGCGGATGGCGGTCTCTTCCCTGCGCTGTGGGTTTCCGACGACTGCTTCATCGTCCCGGAGCTCGGTGCCGCCCAGACCCGCCGCCGCCGCTCCGACCCGCCGCTCCACAAGCGACCCAGAGTGGCGGCGGCGACGACGGCAACCGGCGGCGATCTTCCTCCCCTTCCGAGCGTGTTCTTCCGCTGAATCCATCGGCGGACCAGTTTGTAAATATGAGTCAGAGCAGTGGATTTCCCGTCAGTCTTTCGTGTGTCACTCCAGATATCGACCCATCTTTATATATTTATAGAATAATTCCATCTGAATGTATTAATTCGACATGGTGTTTAGCACGTGGGCCAGCATGGTCAACGGTGGACCTTGGACGCTGCGGACACGCGTCCATGCGATCGATCTAGTGGGCATCTGTTCAGCTAAAGAGCATCGGTGGTAGGGGCTTTTAGTAAATTAATACGAGAGTATATTTGCCAAACTAATGGTGGCGAACGCCAGGTGAGCTGGTAGAAGTTTAAGTATTGATGTCTCTTAGGTGGAGATGAAGAATATTTTGTAAACAAGTCTTCTAATTAATTTACTCTAAAGTGGAGCAGATCCACGTGAAGAGACGCCGGATGTGGCCGTCCCGTAATGCTGGATAATCCCTCCTACATTCTATTAAAACGTTTCTATCCCTTTAAGTTTATAAATCGTATAAGAATACATTACGTCCTTTTAGCTTCAAGGACCTCTCGTTAACAGTTCTTTCTGAACTCACTGCACGTAGAGAGAGAGAGAGAGAGAGAGAGAGAGAGAGAGAGAGAGAGAGAGATGTAGTGGGCCTTATCCATAAGGTATTAACCATTGTGTTGACTGATCCATTACATTGGCCCAATAATGGTCCGGATGGTAGCGAATAGGACGTGAATATATTGGGCCTTTTTCTAGTAGCCCAGTTATGTAATGGGCCCACCAAAGGCTGAAGAAACATAACCTAAGAGAAGCACTGGTATTGGCTCGCGGCGGCGTATGAAAGCTCTGCCCACCGCCGCCGCCCTCCTCCGGCGAAGAACCCATCGTCCCGGCGGAAGCTCTCCTGGTGCCTCTCTTCTGCTCGGCCGCCTCTTCTCTATGGCGCCGCCTCCTCTCTCTGTAGAATCTGAGGAGAATGCTGATTACAGGCTCTGCCATGTCGCCGATCAGCGCTCCGCCCTTCCTGAGGACGGACCTCCGCCGCCGCCGCCGCCGCGGGTGGCGGCGGAGGAATCGCCGCACCGGGCGATGAACGTGGAGTGGAGAGTCGAGCGGGCCTGGGAACACTGGAGGCGGCTCGGGGCGCCAAAGCTCGTGGTGGCGCCCATGGTGGACAACTCCGAGTTGCCTTTCCGGATGCTGTGCCGCAAGTACGGGGCGGAGGCTGCCTACACGCCGATGCTGCACTCTCGCATCTTCTCGGAGAACGAGAAGTATCGTATGACGGAATTCACCACCTGCAAGGTAAGATCGAACTTCCTAATCCTTTTGGTTTTTTGTTTTGTTTTGGAAAACGTGTCACGGTTGGGTTTTCCACCCCTGAGTGGGATCTCTCAGAACCCTAGTCGAGAGACTAGGTGTGTACATGCATAGATAAACGCTCTACATTATGTTGGTTCATCACTAGGGGCGTTGGCTGACCTTTGCCACTCATAGGAAGCAGAGGATTTTTGACAGTCGTCGACTAGGTTGTGGTGCCTGCTTTCATATTTGAAGATGAATTGGTGAGAATCATGAGAGTTTTGGAAAACCGAAGAGTATGCCCCATCTTACTCACCGAATCCGGAAGAAGACTCTCTGCAAGCTTTTGCTTCTATATTCGGTTATGTTCTCATGCACTGGCTAAATTCAGTTTTCTTCTTTAGACGACCATATGTGTGTGCTCTCTATTTTTCGTATACAAGAACGAGGTATTCCATGGTATGTCTCATTTTAGGATGATGACTGTTTGGAGCTGCCCATTTTCTCTCTCCTACTCTTAGATAATCTCACGACATTGATACCAGTGCCCACTATCATCTATTCTTTCTCCAGTATTGCTCATAGATCATGGTTCCAGAACATCCTCGGAGATGGCCCTAGGAAGCAACGTTGCCTGTCAATTACATCGCAGAACATTAGAGATTTTCCTCGAACAGATGCAGTAAAAATGAAAAATTCAACCATCAACCTCAGATATTGGCCTATTTCTTCTATCTCGAGCTTTTCCAAACGCCTTTGTTCTGTAGGATGAAATATTTAAGTTCGCTCCAAGAGCTCACCATTCTGTCCCTTAGCCATGGAGCATCATATAATCCCTCAGTCGATCTCTTTCTGTGTCTCACTCTCACTGTCTCCTTCTCTAATGCCACATTTCCCCACAGCTCGCTGTCACTATGATAGGAGGGGCTGCCATAAGACATGGAAGAAGGTTGCATGTACCATTCAGCCACTCTAAGGCTATGCATATTTTACAGCAGGGAAGTAGGTCCCATTGTCTCAATCCGTCTGTTATGAAGGATCGCTAGTTCATGAAAGCCTTCCTCAGTAATTGGACTGGCTCAGGCCAGTTTGACCCACCTGAGAATCGGGCCAAGGCCAGGTCCTGTCCATCTCACCAGTGTAGAGAACCTGAGAGAGGCCTCATCTGACCCTCAAAGTGAGCTCCATTGGCCTTCCTAACCAGCCAGAGGGAACAAGGCGTTTCTACTGTTCTCAAGGGTAAGTATGCCCCCTCAGAATCCTAACTAATACCAGCTGTAGTTTGTGAGTAGTTTGTCAACACTTGTTAACTGATGGGCTTACTTGTAATAATAAATTGCTTCTTGGGTTCATTCCTATATCAAGCAAAGATGGGACCTTTTTGTTCGTTTAGAAACTTTCTGGGGGATTAAAAACCAAAGAACCTTATTTTTTTGCAGCTGGATGAATAATATAAAGCAGTCTCCTCCACGTATCAATGTGGTAGAAATCACGTGCCTTGAGGGAGGGCATCCTACCCTTTGACCGGGGTACTGTGAAATGGTTTCTCGCCAATAAAAGTAAATAAGCAGAAGGGTAAGACTGATTAATCACTTGATGCAAATGGGCTCACTTGCAACAAATCAAAGAAAACCTTATGTAAAAACGCATGCGAGTTTGTTATTTATCTTCATATGTCTTCATAGAGCATCATTATGCTTTACTCATGCACCTTCTGGTTCCTACGTCTTGAGGGAGAAACTTAAATGATTGTCGACCAAAAAGTTCTAAGCTCAGTTCTGTTGCTCATTGTGCTTGATTATGCAGGAGGATCGCCCACTTTTTGTCCAGTTCTGTGCAAATGATCCTGATACGCTATTACAAGCAGCACGTATTGTTGAGGGCTACTGTGATTATGTTGATATTAATCTGGGGTGAGCCTTCAATTGCTTTTTCTAATACCAGACGTCATGATCTGTACATTTATGAATGAAAAATTGTCTCAATTCATCTTTCTGATTCACGTTTGATTTTGATTGTGACAAAGACGACTGACGAGCCCATTTTTTTTGTCGATCAATAATGTTTGGTTGATGTTTAAATTTGCATACCGAGGCAATTATGTTTGATTGATGTATCTTGACAGAGCCTCGATGTAGAAGTTATTTTCTTCCGTACCTTCTGCTAAGGTTGTCGGAGTTGACCATCAAAAGAGAATATCATCTTCATATATTCACTTTGAAATTGACGTTTTAGTCCATTTAAGCTGATCACGACCTTCAAAACCTTGCAGGTGTCCACAAAGGATCGCTAGGAGAGGCAACTACGGCGCCTTCCTCATGGATAACCTCCCTCTTGTGAAATCGCTCGTCGAAAAGCTTGCATTCAACCTCCGTGTTCCAGTCTCCTGCAAGGTCCGAATCTTTCCTCGGCTAGAAGACACCATTGCCTATGCTAAGATGCTTGAGGAGGCCGGGTGCTCCCTCCTGGCTATCCATGGCCGCACCCGTGACGAGAAGGATGGGAGAAAGTTCCGAGCCGACTGGGCCGTCATCAGGGCCATCAAGGATTCGGTCAAGATCCCTGTGCTTGCCAATGGAAACATCCGCCATATTGAGGACGTCCGTGAGTGCTTGGAGAAGACGGGTGCGGATGGTGTTCTCTCTGCAGAGTCTCTTCTCGAGAACCCTGCCCTCTTCTCGGGGTATCGGACCGGAGAATGGGTTGAAGGCTTGGAGGAAGCCAATAATGGCGGGCTGGACCAGGCAGATCTAGCCGTTGAGTACTTGAAGCTGTGTGCCCAGTACCCGGTCCCTTGGAGGATGGTCCGGTCGCATGTGCACAAGATGCTGGGGGAGTGGTTCAGGATGCACCCGCATGTGAGAGAGGAGCTGAATAAACAGGCCACGCTCAGTTTTGAGTGGCTCCATGGGTTGGTCGGAAGGTTGAGGGAGACCGGCGCCAGGATTCCACTGTACTTGGCGACGCATTCTGATGCCGAAGAGTCTGTGCGTGTTGGGGCTGCTCAAGATCCCCGATGAGCTAGAGTCATACCTGTAAGAGAGCCAAAGTCCCTGGCTGAGGATGCCCGCAGGTAAACCGTATTATTCTTTTAGAACGGCTAGTGTTGGGCACAGTTATTGCCCTCGTATCAGCTGCTCGGAGTTATCTTTTCCTGGTATAAAATGGGGTGAGATTTTTTTCATACTTTCTCTCTCTATCATGTCTTCGTGGATAGCTTCAGTTCTGAAAATGAGGAGAAAAGGAAGAAGAAGATGGGTGGCTATTCACTCTTCTGATGTTTGTTTTAATGTTCTCTCAAGAGAGAATAGGACGGGAATTTGGTCAACGCATTGGTCCAAGTTTTCAGTTCTCTGAGGGTGGTTAACATATTGAGCTGGATTATAATTTTGTTGTTTCTTGTAGTTTTGAATGAGTGAGATGTTGCTGTGATCTCATGTATAAATGCCATTTGACTAAAACCAAGCTGGTCAATTTAGAATCTAGTACCATAGGCACCTCGTTGACTTTTGTTTGTTCAAGAAAGAAGTTACTTTGGTCCTAAACTATACCAAATTTGAAGGGAGACAAACTATTTGATCTCGAAGGACCTTCCTCTAGTCTTTAGCCCCCCCCTCTAACAACTGCATATAAAACCCTCTCATCTATGCTTGATTTTGAAATAAATATCCAGAAATCCAACGATATTTGCCAAGATATTCTTCAATTACAGCCTTGTTGAGAGAAATGGAAGAGAGACAAGATTCACGTATTGGGTTTCAAGAAATCAATTAGAAGGAAGACCTTGACCAGATATTTCATCTTTAGTTCGAGGGAAAAAGTGTAATCTCTCTAATGCCCTCATTCTGAGCATGTAGATGTTCAATCTTTGTTTAGATGTAGATCTAATGCCCTCAATGTTGAGGTACATTTGGTTAGATGTAGTTTAGTAAATGTTTTCATTTTATTTTCCAAAAAATATATTTTTTCTTATTTACTTTGATACATTAGTGGCGAGAGACGTGTAAAGACTATATACATGCATAGTCAACTCAAATAATGGAGATAAATTTTTTCTAAGGATGATTTCAGTCACTACCGATCATAATTCGTATCAGTATTTGATAATCTCTCGATTTACTTACTACTATTTCAGTCACTACTCGATTTATTTATACTACGTGTAAAGATGATTTATTTTCTACCGATCATATTTCAGTCACTACCGTTGACTATTGTAGACATGTATATGTACATGACATGAGGTCAATGGGAGTCTGGCCTTTTTTTAATCATCAATTATCAAGATTGTCAACGGTGAATAACATTCTATTCATTATTAATATCAATGCTTGAAGTATATTCACGTACTTAAAATGATGTAATCAACATAGGTCCCCAATACTTTTGGAATTTATTTCCATATATACTCTGTCAGCTACATCTTTTGGGTGCAAATTTTCACGGCTCATTCATTGGTTTTTACAAAGTTTTCCTTATTTTTTTCTATATGTTTCCTCTCTTTTCTCCTCTATTATTTTTCTTCTTATTTCCTTTTTTTTTTAATATCTAATTTGTGCTGATACCCTTAATCTATAATCCTTCATTCTGCTCTAAGATAGAGCAATCTAATAATGGATTGAAGGCAAAGCCATCTTGCCTTAGCTCTTCTTCTTATGGTTGCCGGAGGGTCTAACGTTCTCCTCTCATTCCTCTTCCTCCATCCTTCCCGTTGTGGGAAGGAGACATCTCGTCCTGTGAGACGAAGGAGAGCACGCGTTGACTTCGAAGGCACCTATCTTATCAATGACTCCGAGGAGAGGGATTGTAGTCTCGCGTTGGAAGTCGCGTCATCGCCCGGGGAGAAGACAAGGAACCAGAGGTAAGTCAGGGGTACGAAGCCGTCAGTTCTCGCCTCTACTCTGACAGTCATGTCCACCTCCTGACAGAGAACTGTGGCTAGGTCTCCGAACCCATGAAGTAAGAACATGAAATATAATAAATTTGATGAGGCAGGGTGGAAAGAGAGAAGAGAGAAGAGAGAGAGAAGAGAGAGAGAGAGAGTGAGAGAGAGAGAGAGAGTGAGAGAGAGTGAGAGAGTGAGAGAGATGATCAGGGGATGGGAAGGATGTTGGGTGTGAGGGATAAAGAGGACCTCAGTGCTGAGGACAAGGAGAGGCAGAAGAAAGAGACATCTCTCCCTCTCCGATAGCTACGTCGGTGGGGGCTCAACAGCACGGGGGGCGGTGGAGAGCTGTCGGCGTAAGCTCAGGGTATCGTCTCCTTCCACGAGGGTCGGGGGGGTTGGGTGGAGGACAGAAGATATTATTACACAGTGGGTTTTTCTCAAAGTACACCAGAAAGAAGGAAAGCAGAAGAGAACCCTTCCCCTTTGAAGGTGGGAAGCAGGTCGCTTCAATCTAGAGTTGTCTTGGTCTCTTATCCCTCTCCTCCTCCTCCTCTCTCTCTCTCTCTCTCTCTATCTCTATCTCTATCTCTCCCTCTCGCTCTCTGTATCTATTTACTCTCTCTCTCTATCGCCCCTCAGGGTAACGGACGACGGCTGGAGGTCCTAGGCTGCGGCGGTACTGTGAAGCATTCATTATGCGTTCGCCTACTCGAAATCTCCACGGGCGGGAGAAGACGAAGGGGACGAAATACTACTGCCTTTGACATGCATGAATTCGTTGATATTCACAAGATCTCTTATTATTAGGTGGGGACGGCAATGACAAGGCCTTTCTGGGAAAGCTTAATCATCCATCGCGTCACTGCTCATTCCCGATCATGCTTGCATGGCTGTCTTTAGGTGCTTCTTCTAGCCACAGAGAGGAGAACTACGGGTGCTTTCTGCCTAAGCAAAAAGAAGCCCCAACCCATCTCCGGCCTTTCCAAACCCTATCTCCCCCCCCAAGGACAAATATGGCTCCTAAGCCGCACGTCCCCACTGTACGGGTGCCCACCATTGATAAGAGCTCAAGAGAAGCTTCCGACAGCTCCTCATTTAAGCTTCGCCGAACGGCCGCTGTCACGGGAAGACCCATCAGTTCCTCTTCCCTCCCTCTCTTCTGTTCCGGCTTCCGTAAGGGCTTTTCTCCGACATGCTTTCTTACAGAGGAGACGTCTTCTCAGAAGCCCTCCCAGCCCGTCTCATCCGTTGCTCGTAGGGTAAGTCAGTTCAGAGGCCCCTTAGTGGGTCTTCTTCTCCTGGGAGAAGATCAAGAGGAAGACCTGTCGGTTCTCTCTCCAGCCTCTAACCAGGCTTGACGATCTAGTATCCACTAGTAACATCAAAAATCAGCTTTTGGAGACCGTTTAGATAGGTGTTGTTGGTGACTCCCCTGGACAACCCTAACCAGCGAGTGGGGAAGCTGGTTGCGGAGGAAGCGGAGAAAATGGAGTACATCACATGCGGGGCATAACTGCGCTGCTTTCATAGAAATGGAAAATGTTTCCACAAATGGAAGCAGGGACTTTTCCTTCACGAGCTCCCAGAAAGGGTCACTTCCTCTCTCCCTTCCCTCTTCCTCCCGTGTCCAGTTAACCCTCCTCCATGAGATGGGCGGTGGTGCAGGTTAGTGTTTCCCTCTACGTCTGTCGTCGTGGGAGGAGGTGGAGAGTGGAGGGAGGGAGGAGGGGAGTAGAAAGGACTGGAGGAGGAAAGGCGTCGGATGGGGGAAGGGAGGAAGACGGGGAGGGGGAAGATAGAGATAAAAATGATAGAGAACACGACCAACAGGCAGGTGACCTACTCCAAGAGGAGGGGAGGTCTCTTCAAGAAGGCCAAGGAGCTCACAGTGCTCTGTGACGCGCAGGTTTGCCTTCTCATGCTCTCCAGCACCAACAAGTTCTGCGAGTATTGCAGCCCTTCGACCAAGTCCGCCCCAGCAAAACCCTCTCTCTCTCTCTCTCTTTCTCTCTCTCTCTCTCACTCACTCACTTCACCTTCTTTTTCCGCAGCACGAAGGCCGTCTTTGACCGTTATCAGCAAGCCACACGGATCGACATCTGGGAAGAGCAGTATAATGTACGAGAGAGATCTTCTCTCTTCAAAACTTTGCTCATCATCTTTTCTCTCTCTCTCTCTCTGGCGCATGTGATATTAACCGCAAGCAGATCAAGCATATCTATATATTTTTCTAGGGTTTCTCATCCAATTTATGCTTGCGCAGAGCATGCAAAAGGAGTTGGCACAGCTCACGGACACGAACAACAGGCTCCGCCGAGAGATCAGGTAGATTGTCAGCCCGTCTCCTCCATCTATGTTGCTTGATATATTCTCTTCGTTTTCCGTCTTCCGGGAAAGATAATTCCTCCGAAGAGAAAGCAAGAACAAAAGGAACGCTAAGAGAGGTTTCCTGTGCAGTCAGAGGATGGGTGAGGATCTGGACGACCTAGACATGAGACAGCTGCGAGGTCTTGAGCAAGATATCGAGGAATCCCTGAACACAGTTCGGGGGAGAAAGGTGATCGTCCTCTCCATCCTTCCATCACGTCTTGTTTTTTTACTTACAATTTCTTCTCGTTCGTCCCTTCTTCATCTGCTTCGTCCCTTCTCCACATGTCTCCCTTCCACGCATATATAACGTACATCTTCGTCTGGGTTCTCATAACAGGAGAAGCAGATTTCCAGCCAGACGGAAACTTTCAAGAAGAAGGTATGAGAACATCAACATAGAGACGTTTTCATCCTTCCTTTCTTGTTTTCTTCGTTCCAGTGCAATTTCCAGTCATCTCTCTCGTCGATCCTGTGTGTCTTTCGTGGGCTGAGTCTTCCATGCCTAGTCTTTATCAGTCAGTGAGAAGAACAGTGGGACTAGACGGCCGAATCTCACGGACCCTGTTGATGAAAGATAAAGCGAAACGTACAGGTCTCTGACTCCACGTAGTAGGCACAGATGGTCATACCGTCGATGATTTGGACCTTAGGGGGTGCACTTTGTGAGAAATTTTCTTGGGTTTCATTGTGGACACGACCAGCTCGCCTTCTGTTTCCTCTTGATGTCGGACCTCCAGAGATATCTGGAGTAAATAGGAAGAAGAGAGGACTACAATCGCGCACAATAACGGGCTAACTTGCGAAGATCGAGTCACATCGCTGGAGACTGATGCCAACGTGCAAAAAGGTAGAATCCATCAAAGAACAGGTTCTCTGGCGAAGAGAGAAGAGTTGGACTCTGGCGGTCGTTGGACGAGTTCGTCACTGATCAAAGATAATGTCTAGTCAGTCCCCACATAAAGGAGCGTCAAGAACAGGACGAAAGATGATGTTTTTATAATAATAAGGCCTTAGATTACCGGAAGACTATGGTCATTGAACGAATTATAGTGCCCTAGATTTGTATGGTCGGCAAATTACCCGTATTAACCTAGCCGGAGGATGATACCGCTTCCGGATGCTGGTAGATATCGCTTTTCTTACGTAAGATAGATGGGGTCTTTGATGTCTGCCTCCTCCATGACTCCCCCTTGTAACTTCTTATATCATTCAGCGCCGAAGACTCGACTTGGCTGTACCGAATCTTCTTATTCTGGCTGAAACCTTGCTATCATTTTATGGGTTATTCTTCCTGATGGTGGAGCTTGCTCTCCTTTTCATTGAGAGTGAAGATATCATATTGCTCCAGTTCCTACATATAGATTGGGATTGATCAGGATATCTATACGAGGTATCAATGGAATGTTTATCATCCTATTCCCAGGAAGCAACGTGTCTACTTGATCTTCGGTTACCGTCAAGGGGATCGGGTGAAAAGCATAGAAAGCTGTGAAAAGAAGATGATTTTGGCATATATAGCATCGAGAGGATCAGCAGGTTATGGGCTGGAAGATTGCAGCAATTAACTATGAAACTGAGACATTTGCTGTCTTAAAGAACCGGAGAGGCATGGTTTGATCCACAGGACGAGCCAGAGACTTCTCTGGTGGAGCAAAAAGTGATCGATCTTCCACGGCTTCGCGCATTTTACTTCCAAGATCCAATTTCTCTGAAATTTCTCTTTTAATGTTTCGTTGGGTCAGCGTAGAATGATCCATAATCTTCACAGTGGTGCCTACTATATACTTGATGAATATCACGTGAACAACAGACTGCAGCCATCTGGGAATGATGATATCATATCACAGAGAGGAAAGAAAAACCCAGAAATCTATGACAAATAATGGTGGAACATTAAGATAGTTTCGCCTAGCTCAGGTTTTCTAGGGTTCTTAGTTTCCCTGACAGACGCTAGTGAGTCCCTTTATTATGACTCATGAGACTCTATATTTCTTCCACTTTGACTCTTTCTATTTTTCCTTTCATTCATATTTTTTCTCTGATCGAGTAGTCAACTGATTCTCCTTGCAGGTGAAGAGCTCCGAGGTTCAGCATCATATGCTGCTGCAGAAACTGGTTAGTTTTCTTGCGCTCCATCCCGTTTCTTCGCGTCTTTGGTCCCGTTTGGATTGCCGGAAAACGAATAAGAGAGTGGAGATTCCGAAACCCCTAGCTCCCAAATGATAAATATGGACGTGTCAAGGAGTGAAACTACGTGGATGATTATGGAATATACACGTGTCAAAAGAGGACTATTTTTTCGATGAGCTTTTCTTCTTGGACGGGCCTTATTGGGTTATTATGAGGCCCATTATAATTTCCTTTACTGCCCATTAAGTAGACTTGTCTGATCTCCGCAGCAAGAGGTCGAAGCGAGGTTCAACTACGGCTACGTTGACGGCGGACCAAATGAGTTTGGGCCTTTAATGGACCTCAGCGGCGGGGAGGCGGCCCACCAAACGTACGGCTTCCGCGTGCAGCCGAGCCAGCCCAATCTGCATGGCGCGGGGTATGGCTTCCACGAGCTCCGCCTCTCCTGACGTGGACGCGGGTCCCCCATGCAGACTGAGGCAACTTCATAAGGCCCATGGTCCCCTCGCACCATGCTCCTCGGACATGCTATGAGCCAAGACTCGAACTTGATCACGCAATCTATTCTATCCTACGCCCCCCAGCTCGTAACCCTCATGACGCGTTGACTTCTCGTTGACTGTATGATTGATCGGAAACCTGCGGAACCCATTTTCACAGTAGCCGTTTCCAAAGGTTACTACTGCAACGTTGGCAAGCGAGTATGGATTTCAACGCCGCCGCCGCCCGGGGGTCGAGGAGGTGGTGGTGGGGACAGCGCCGACGGACGAATCTTCCACTCTAGTCAACCTTCCGGTGGCTTTAATGCTGAAGCTCCTCCCATGTCGCCGTAAGAAAGAGAAACGGGTGGACAATCGAGTGATCTTACAAATCACCTGACAAAAATGGGTTATTGAGCTTAAATATTGACCGACATGGAACAGGTACGGTTCCCATTATTGGAAAGAATCTTCCAAACGAGCAGCAGGCGGGCCACCATGGCTGGTCTGTGTGAGGTTGCCGACAGCCGAGGAAGAAGCTAATGACAGCAAAGACGAGGATAGAGAGAGAGAAAAAGAGAGTGAGGGGGGGGAGGGGGGGGGGACTGGGCCAGCCTCCATCCGTGGGAGCGGCGGAAGACAGCAACCTAACGGGATTATTTCAGAAAAATAAACCCAGCAAGAACACGATCCGGAGGAAAACAAAGTTCGCCAGAAGAGCCGCGCAGATGCATAATTTCACAGAGTAAGCTTCAACAGTCATCCAGAACTCCATCAAATATTTTAATGGTAGTGGAGGAGGGCGAAGGGAGGCGACGGGCGTCAGCGGTACTGTCCAATACAGTCGGTTTCGAGCTTTCGTTTGCTCAGAGGAGGAACTGCTCTGTCTGCGCCGGAGAAGAAGAAGAAGAGGCTGAGGGGCGATGCTGATTCTGGAGCTCGGTATCTGGGTCATCCCCTTCACCCTCTTGATCGCCCCCTGCAGGAGATTCACCCTCCTGGTCGCGAACCATCAGGAGCTCCGGTGGAGCATGGCCGCCCCTCTCTCCGCAGTCCCCAACGCACGGAGATACCCGGGGAGGATTCCGAGCATGGGTATCATCATCTAAACCTTCTCCTCGCCGGAGGGGCCTGTGAAATGGTTGGAGGATCATGACCACGGCAGGAATCTTTAAATGGTTTTGTGGGGGAGAAACCCATCATTTTTTTCCCGTAGAAATCAATTCCAGCTGCATTGTGCTGCAGATCTCTACATCTCCGCAGAAGAAGCCCATCTGTCACTCGTCATAAAATATTTTTATCAATACATATTATGAGGAAGAAAATGAAGGATCGGGCAAATATCAGGGAATATGTCGTAGATCGATTGATTCAGGAATGAATCGGAGGTGGTCGATGCGAGATTTATGTCACGAGAAAACATTGGCCACGGGCGGGGGGCCATTCATGCATCATGAATCATGTTAAGAAGCCATACCTTCCTGGCTGCTTCAGCTTGGCAATCCTAAATGACAGGTTTTGACAGTTCGATTGAGCCTCACTTAGTAGCAGCAGCAGCTCCTTCGAACAATATATTCGATCCTCCAAGGAATCGAGTCCAAAGGGAGCAATCTGCATTCCACACCATAATCACCAATTATCCGAGTTTAGTCGGAGGAAGCTAGAGATAACTGGATTTCTGATCACAGCTGTTAACCTGAGTGCGGATGAAGAGGGACCGGCTTCCTTCAGATGAAGATAGGTTGCAAGGCAGATTGCCCAGTATAAACCGAGCTCGCAGAACGTTGTGGTCGGCTATGGATCGTCAACCAGGTACCCCGAAGAGCACCTCCCAGCAACGGTCAATTGCGACCATCACCTTCCTCCGCTTGGCCAACCCCCTGACCACTTTCTCCCAGGTGGAGGCCCCCGGACCGAGATGCTTCCTGAGCATAGCTTCCACGATCACCGCTGCTCCTGCCGCTCTTTCCCTTCTGAACATCCTCGCCGCCAAACCTTCCAGAAACTCCAGCACTTTCTCCCCTCCGCTATCCCTGAGGCTCCCCAGGAAGATGTTGCAGGTGACCAAATCGGGGTCGCAGCCCCTGTCCAGCATCTGCCCCAGCAGCGCCACCGCGCGGGTGAGCTCCCCGCTCTTGCAGAGCCCACCGAGAAGGATGTTGTAGATGACGGCGTCCGGCTCAGGCCCGCCACTGGCCACCATGCCGCTGAACAGCCGCATGCCGGCGTCCAGCCGCCCGCTCTCGCAGAGCCCCCTTATCATGGCTCCATAGGTGACCACGTCGGGGGTGCAGCCTTCGCTCACCATGCGCTTCCACGCCATCATCCCCTCCCTCACCAGCCGCGCCTCGCACAGGCCGTGGATCAGCACGCTGTAGCTCACCTGGTTGGGCCGGCAGCCGGCGCTGACCATCTCCCTCCATATCCCCACTGCTTTCTCGCTCCTCCCCGCCTTGAAGTAGCCCTCCATCAGAACACTGTAGGTGTAGACGTTGGGCTTGCAGCCGTCTGCCGCCATCGTTGTGAGAGCTGTCTCCGCCTCCTCAACGTTGCCTCCTCTGCAGAGCCCATGGAGGAGGCATGTGTAGAGGACGGTGTTGGGCTTCAGCCCCTTTGACTTCATGGCCGCCCAAAGCCTCAGGGCTTCCTCCGGCCTCTCGGAGTTGAACATGCCGCAGAGGAGGGACGAGTAGATGAATTCATTCGGGAAGAAACCTTCGTCCGCCATGGCTCCCACTAGTCTCTCCGCATCAGATGTCCGCCCGCACTTGACCAGCCCGTCTAGAATGGTCCCGTAGGTGATCTCATTTGGGCTTCTCCCGCTCTTCACCATCCTCTCCAGCAGCTCGATGGCGGAGTCCAGCTTCCCCTTCAGGCAAAGACCATGGATTAACGTGTTGTAGGTGGCCTCCGTGGGGAGGCAGCCCTTGAGGGCCATATTCCGCGTGAGGTTGGCGGCTCGCCGGAGATCGCCGCGATGGCAGAGGGCGCGGAGGAGTGTGTTGAAGGTCACTGCCGTGGGAGGGCACCCCTCTACGTGCATTTCGTCGAGCAGGCTCATGGCCTCCTCTACCCGGCCCTCTCTGCAGAGCCCGTCCATCAGGGTGGAGTAGGTGAAAGCGTCCGCGCTGTAGCCGCGGCGGGGAAGGTCCCGGAAGATCTCCACCGCCTGGTCGAGGTCTCCGGATCTGCAGAGGCACTTGAGCAGAAGATTGTATGTGAGAAGATTGGGGGTAAGCCCCCCACCAGCGGCCACACGGGCGTGGAAGGCGACGGCCTCCTCGAAGAGGCCGGAGGAGACGACAGCGTTGAGTGCAGAGTTGAAGGAGCGAATGGTGGGGGAGCAGCGGAAGTCGCCAGTCATTCGATCGAACAGGTAGAGGGCACAATGGGGAAGGCGGAGGCGAGCGCAGGCACGGAAGGCTGTAATGAAGAGGCTCTCCGGGAGACTGCGGCCCTGTCGGCTCATGGTGTGGAGGAGCTTCTCGAGGGAGTCGAAGTCGCCGTTCTCGGCGAAGGAGCGGGCCAGGTTGCAGAAGGTGGCGTCGCCCTGCGTGTAGCGGCCGGACCTGGCCGGCGGTTCGAACATCTCCTCCGCCATTAGAATGTGAGGCGGAGGCGGCGGCGGTAGAGCGACGACGCCTTCCGATGGTTCGTCCTCCGCGCCCGCCTCGGCCGTAAAGGATGAAGAAGAGACAGAAACCCGGGAGATGGAGAGACGACGGCGGAAGGAAGAGGATGAGGAAAGAGGGGGTCTTTTTCTTCTGCAAAGAGATGAGAAACGGAAGTAGGAGGATCGCATCTCAGAACCAGGATCTGGTTCTGCTCGGCGGCGGGCGAAAGAAGTGCGCATCAACAGCTCGACGATATGTTTCGACGCGGCGACTCAGAAGGACACTCCGTATGAAAGCAGAAAATGATACACAGGAACCCCACTCCCTACCAATTACTTATTATTTATTTACCATAATTTTCGTGTTATTCTCACTGGGCCTGAAATATATAAAAAATATACGAACACTCCTCTATGGAAGAAAAGTATCAACCGTGGGTTTTCGTAAGTATTTAATAACACCAAAGTTGTTATCATCCTCTATTTTCGGGGTGTTATCAAGGTTATAAGTGGATGTAGTCATGCATGGGGTTAATGATAGATGCCATTGAATGGTAGGTGATTTATCTAAATTTGACTAATTGTGGAACATTTTATTACATAATTGATTGACTTGGGGAACTGACTTGGGCAAAATACAGTAGAGATAATGATTAACAAGAATAAGCATTCAATCGTATTAGACATCTAGTTGATCTTTTTTATAAGCATAAAGCATAACATAATAATATCAAAGTATGCACGATATTAATATCTTGAAAATTTAAAAAATAATTTAAATTATAATAAATAAAGATCGTCATAAATGAGTATTTAAAAAATCTAAAGATTGTAGGGTAATGGCCTCTTATAAATAGAACCTTGGCTCTATCTCATTTTGTTATCAGAAATCACAATTTTATCAAGACATTTATAATGAGATCAAAGAAAAGTATATCACCGTATATGGAAGGCCATATTCTTGATTTGAGAATTATAATTGAATATTGAAAAATCATGATAGTGGAGTTGATCAGCATATAACAAAGAAAACCAGAAAGTTTATATTTTTTATTATGTTTATGTAAGAGAATTTAATTATTACAAACTTATTAATTATTAGTCAATAAAAGCTACTGTTTTAGGGGTAAGTCATGTGTCATTTTATGCATAATTGTAGGTCCTTTCAAATTTCCTTGAGAATAATCTAACCATTGCTAACTAATGTGAAATTGCCCAAAAAATATCTACTTAGCTACTTGCATCTCCTTATACACCTACTTGCATCTTTTATACCCCCCCAGAAATTAGTTCCCCTCCCATGCCCTCTCACCCCTTGTGCCTAACACATGACTATTAGCCTAATATCACTTATTCCTTCTTAAGTAGTAGCAAGCATCTCCGATTCTCCCCCCCCTAGAATTGAGGGGTCTTTGCCCATATTGCTTTGTTGCCTATCACTTGTAATTGTGGTCCAAACCTAATGAGTTGACCTACAAGTGAACCCACAAAATGACTTAAGAAAATTGACCCAACAACATGAAACACAAACTCATGCGAAATAAGAAGAATTATCTCTAAAATTAGATGGATTAGACAACTCTTGCAATTATGAGAGCATCTCTTACCATTTATGATTAATAACCCTTGCCAATGTTAGTGGATCAAATACCTAGATAATCTTTATTGACAAGTATGCAAAGTGATTCAATCAAAATCTGGTCAACCAAGTATAAACTATAATGAAACCTTCTCTTTTTATTTAACCTAAATGTGTGTGTAAGAGAGAGAGAGAGAGAGAGAGAGAGAGAGAGAGAGAGAGAGAGAGAGAGAGAGAGAGAGAGAGAGAGAGAGAGAGAGAGAGAGAGAGAGAGAGGACAAAGTGAGAATCTCACTCACTTCTTCGCATTTATGGTCCCAAAGTGGCTAAATAAAATGTAAAGAGAGAGAGAGGAAGGTTTTACCTGAACCAACATTGGTTGATTTAGTTCAACACATAGTCAACACAAATTGGGTTGAGTTGGTTGACACACTATATTGACATATTAAGCATGAAAAAGAAATGAGCATGCATATATATGGTAGTTTGAACTTCAATAACTTACACTTGCCAAGAGTTTCTAGCTTTTTCCCGTGTCAGTCTCTCAAAAGAATTATTATTGAATTTCATGTGATTGAAAAATTTCTTACATACTACATTTCATTAGTCTATCTTCCTAAAGTTAGATGTTAAGGTATGAACCTATCTTCTTTTTGTTATCAATACTCTCAAAAGTGACTTCACACAAAAATAATAGTAGGATAATTAAAAATTGGTTATGAAGTTGAGAGAATGAACTTCCCTGATTTTGTGAATATTTGAATGCTTGAATAAATATGACAAAGGTCTTCTTGGAATAGAAAATGAATAGATAATTTTAGCACAAATAAAAAAAATTGATGGGCTGTTTAGGTGTGTTTTGAATGTTCTTCAAATGAACCTTTTATGGATCCCACAAATATAATTCAATAATTTAATTAAATTTATTAATTTCCAAACTAATATCTTTAATTCAATTTTCTAACCAAGGTTTAGTTCGTTCAATAATTCTTATTTCATATGATACACATCATTTATATGATGGCAGTTTTTAGAAATTTTCATGACATGAGATTAAAATCACAAAAAAATATCTAAACTTTATAAAAAATCTAAATAAAATGGTTTGACAATTATCTCATATACTAGTGGAGATAATAATTTTATTCTGAAAATTTATATCTAAATAATTTAAATAAACACTCAACATGATGTTAAGATGACCAAAATGAAAATAAAAAATATATTGCAACACTCAAACATATATCAATCATGAAAATATGTAGATATAATGATATCAGAAAAATTAAGTATCATAAAATACTTAGACTTAATGATTCTTGCAAACATAAATCTAATTATCTCACTATATCCTCTTGTCGAAGAAAATTATTTTAATCATCCAAAGGTACTAGAGAAGTCAATTATCAAGTCTTAAGATTGGGAACCTAAATTTCTTTTGGTTTATAAATATTAGCTTTAGATTTATGAATCCAAGCATATCTAAAAAGTTTATTTTAGTCTATTTTTTTAACATTGTATGTCTACTCATAGGAGTATATCTAAAATCTTCATTTGAAGTCTTTTCTTTCTCTCATATACATGTTTTTATTTCTAAGAGTTGACTTCCATGTTTTATCTGAAGTATTTTCTTTCATAAATATCTTTTCATCTCACTAAGTGTAGTCTAATTCTTCTCTTCTTGATAAAAGTTGTGGACGTCACAATATCATATTCATATTGTTTTCAAACATATAATTTTAAATAGATTGAGTTTAAATCAAATATTTTTTCTTCTATGAAAGAGTTATTTTTGTTCATGCTTACATTATTTTATTGATTTCTCATTTTCTTATTCTCAAAATTATGGATTCTTTTTCAAATTCTTCATAGTTCTTTTTTGTGAAGTATGCTCATAATTTTATCAATGTTTTACATTGTTGTTGTTTAGAGCTTTTTCCATTACTCTATGTGTCTAAATCAAGAGCTTGTATAAATATTATTATTCTATTTTTAACAAGAATAATTTAATGATGTTAATAATGGAGGTTTAACATTGAATTATTCATTGAGGCTAAGTTTATTAAGTTTCCAATGATTTGATATACTCGAGATGTATTATAATCTCAATTAAGCTAAGTTATAATATCTAGAATTGATTCCTAAATGGTTAATTAGATGAATCTAGAGGGGGGAGTGAATTAATTTTATTTATATTTCTATATGAAAAATATTTTAAAATTAAATTACTTTTAAATATAAAATGAATCAAGAACACAAGGTGGACAGATGATTATAGAGTGGTTTACTCAACTAATTTAGCCTTCGTCTACTTTTAACTAATTCACCTTAGTTTTACAATTTTATCACCATAACATATGATTTTCTTTAGATCAAGAACCTCTTATATCTCTAAGTTTTGTGAACTTATGATATTGTAATTAAAATAAGAGAAATTAACAACCTTATATCTACTTTATAGATGCCCTTGGTTTTAACATATATAATGGGTTTTGACATAGATAGTAGAAATTTTATTTATAAATTATTATAGAATTAGTTATGGCATAATTTATGAAATCATCTATATGCATCACGATTATTTTCATCACAGAAGAATTATTATTGACAAACATTCAATTATGTATTTTAATGATATTCTGTGTGATTTTGTGACTAACAATGAGTCTAATGAGTCACATCCTTAAGATAATATACAAAATAATGTATGAGTAACGTAGTGCAACACTCTTCAAGTATAAATACAACATAATGTGTCCCAATATGTGTGGCAAAAGTATTATATATATGTATTCTTAAAAATTGAAGTCATAGGTGAGATTTGAACATATCACCTAGGTAATGTGAAGAAAGGAGCATCATATAAAAAATAGTCTGAATAATAAAAGATACATAATGACATACATAGGATTAAAACTTAGAAAGTAAGATAAATGAGAGCTGAAAATATCATAGCCAAAATATTTAAAATCTAAGTCTAGATAAAATTTGAAATAAAGAACACCTTATAATAATGTAGAAAATTGGTTATAAATTCAAAACAAAAATATATGATTAGTGATTGAAATAAATTTGAACTCAATACTTTTATAGTAGTTAAGTTGTCCTATCTATATAAAGTAGAAAAGGAAACAAATAGGTCATGACCATTGATGCGACTTAATCATTATATAATAAATCACGTAAATTTAAATTTCTAAAACTAAAAAATATTTATATTTATATTTTTATAAGTATTTAAAATTTAATTAATTAATTTAAAGATTATTAAATGCTTTAAAAATAGTAAAAATTTCTAAGTTGATCATATGGATGTAAGATAATATATAATAATATTTTAAATTTTTTCCTAAAAAATATAAGTTTTTATGATATTTAGAGTAAATGATGAATATAAAATATACTAAAATTTTGTGAAAAAAGAAATAAATGTGTGAACATTATGATAACATCAACATTTTGACAAATATAATTTGAATAGAAATAGAGTTTCATTTAGTGATTCTTATATGAACCATTATAGATGATTTAATTGATCAAGCTAAGATTTATAAAAGTTAAAATAGTAATAATTAAATTAAAAAGGTTTTTTTAAATTAAAAATCACATA